GGGGGCCCAGAGGTTTTGGGAGGGGTGCGGAGGTTGTGAGAGGACTGGGAGGGACCCGGAAGATTTGGAGGAGACCGGAGGTTCAGGGAGGAGGGGGAGGAGAAGGAGGAGGAGGAGGAGGAGGAGTGGGAGGGAGAGGAGGAGGAGGATGAGGAGGGAGGAGGAGGAGGAGGAGAGAGCAGAGGAGGAGGAAGAAGAGGAGGAACGAGACGCTTTTCGAGGTTTTGGGGGGAGTGGGGAGGTTGAGAGAGGAATGGGAAGAACCAGGAAGCTTTCAGAGGAGTGCGGAGTGATGTGGAGGAATGGGAGGTGTTTGGAGTTTTTGGGAGAAATGCGGAGGTTTAGTGAGGAAAGTGAGGAATGGGAAAGGGTGTAGAGGTTCTGGGGGAATGCGGAGGGATCTGGAGGTTTCGGGAGGAGTGCGGAGGTTGTGGGAGGAATGGGGGGGCCCAGAGGTTTTGGGAGGGGTACGGAGGTTGTGAGAGGACTGGGAGGGACCCGGAAGATTTGGAGGAGAGCGGAGGTTCAGGGAGGAATGGAGGGTTCCCAGAGGTTTTCGGTAGAGTGCGGAGGGGTGCATGGAAAGGAATGAGAGGGGTCTGGAGGTCTTGGGAGGAGTGCGGACGGGTGTGGAAGAATGAGAAGGGATAGGAGGTTTTGGGAGGACCGCTGAAGGATCCGAGGGACCCACAGGTTTTGGGAGGGGTGCGGAGGTTGTGAGAGGAATGGGATGGACCTGGAGGTTTTGGGAGAAGAGCGGAGGTTTAGAAGCAATGGGAGGGTCCCAGAAGCGGAAGTTTTTGGTATAAGAGTAATGGAGGTGGTCTGTAGGTCTTGGGAGGAGTGCGGGGGGGCGTGGAGGAATGGGAAGGTCTGGATTTGTTGGGAAGAGTGCGGAGGGGTGTGGAAGGACCTGTAGGATTTGGGAAGGGTGCGGAGGTGGTGAGAGGGAGGATCTGGAGAGGAGTGCGGAAATTGAGGGGGGAATGGAAGGATCCCGGAAGTCTTTGCCAGAGTGGCGAGGGGTGGAGAAGAATGGGAGTGGTCGGGAGGTGTTGGGAGGAGTGCGGAACGGTGGGCGTGGAGGAATGAGATGGCCTGGAGGTTGTGGGAGGAGGGCGGCGTGTGTGGAGGAATGAGAGGGTCTGCAAGTTTTGAGAGGAGTGCGGAGGTTTGGGATAGATCGGGGGGGGGGTCTGAGGACTCTGGGGGGAGTGCGGAAGGGTCATCAAATCAGCACATGGTCCTCGGACGATTGTCGGGCCTTGTGGGGCCTCCTGGAAACCCTTCGTCGCCACGGCTGGATGCGCCTCGCAGCAGGGACAACCACACGGAAGATAACGATTACGGCGGCGATGGTGGCGCCTTCAGACCACGCGTGCTGCAGGGTGCGTTCGGGCCCAGGGCGGCCACAGTGCTCTCGGGCGCCGCCCACCGATGGGCAGCGATGGGGGGGCGGAAGTGAGGGGCACGAGGATGACGATGATGAGGGCGACGGAGGAGGGCGAAGAGTTTTCTGGAAATGTGAGCCCACAGCAGAACCAATAATGCACCCCAACTGCTGGCGCGTAGCCGTGATGTGAAGAGCGCGCCCGACGTTGCTCAACTTGCTTTGTAAATCGCGTACCGACTGGTGTCCCCTACAAAAATGTTTGTTTGACACAGTCATGCGAAAAGGAAGCCAAAGCCACAAGTGGCATCTAATGTAAAAAGCGGCTGGATCAGCTGAGCCCAAGTCACAATAACGAGAAAAGTGCGTCCCACGTCTGTAAACTTGCCGCATGCGTCCCGTGCCGACTGGTTCCCCTACACAACTGGTTGTCTGACACAAGCACAGTGCGAAGAGAAGGCCCACGCAGGAAGCGACACCGAATTCAAGAGGCAGCTGGGCCAGGCAACGGTGGCAAAGGCAGTACAACCCTGCGCGGCTGCGCCTCCTCGCTGGCTGTTGGCTGCCGCGGGAGCCTGTTCCCATACTGCGTAGAACCCGTGACCAGCCACCGCGCAAAACTCTCCGAGCACTTAGGCACGGTCCTGAAATCAGCCTCCTTCAGCTTGCCCTTCGCTTCAAATTGGACGACTCTGGCCTGCATGTGGCGGATTTCCTCCTGCGGCACAACGTCGCTCGGCATCCACAAGCCCTTCTTTTTCGCAGTCATGGCAGCCCCGCGCTTCCAGATCGTGTCCGGCTGGCCGTTGTTGAAGCATTGGCTGACTTGGACTTGAAACTTCTGGCCACAAAACATCGCCAGGAAGTCCGTGACTGGTACTGTGGGGCTTCTCTCTGGCATGGAAGCGTACTCCACAGGCCTGTAGTCGTCAAAGAAAATGAACCGACGCTGTGGGCCGACCAGCTTGGCCAGGGGGCAGAAGGCGCCCAATTTGGGCTTCGTGAAAACGCCGCCCTCCCCAAAGAGAGTCAGCACCGGCTCCAAGACCGTGCTCTTGCCGGCGTTGCGCGGCCCAACGATGAGAGGCACGCGCGCCGTCTTGCTCTGGCCTTCCTTGATGATCTTCACCAAGCACGCCGCCAAGTAGTCCCTGTCGACCCCCGGGTTCCTGTCGAAGAAGGCCACGGCTGCCGCCCACCACTCGCAGCCCGCCTCGCCGCAAGCGCACGTGCACGCAGCCTTCCGCAGGATGAGGCCCCAGTCGCTCTCGTCGTCCTCCTCGGCCCTCTCCGACGCCCCCTCCCATTCCAGAGCTTCCTCGATTAGCTCGGCCAACTTCCGCTGGTTGCGGGCGACGTAGTTCTGCATGGCCAGGGAGCCCTTCTTCTGCGCGTGCGTCATCACCTTGCGAGGCGTCAGCAACTTGTCGGTCACGACAAGGGCGTACAAGTCCAGCTTCCCGAAGATCTCCTTCGACTTCTTTGCGCTGCGTTCAAGGACCTGGTCGCCCGCCGCCATCGCCGCCTGCTCCCGCCTGCGCTTGTGCATCTTCGCACCCCAGCCCTCGTTGCCCATCTCGTAGAGGTTGGGCGCCGAGCCGTCTTTCGCCCAGACGTCGGGGCTGCGGTCGACCGACTTCTTCCTGTCACTGGTGCGCGTCAGGTAGCGCACGGCGCTCCAGAGCTCGGTGTGCGAGGTGCTCCAGTGAGAGGCGAGCTTCGACCGCTGCCGGAGCGCAGTCTTTATTGGCAGGAAGCGAGTCTCGTGCGACAGTTTCACTGCCTGGTGGTAGTGCACCTTCCCGTCCTGGTGCTTCTCCTGGACGGTGAGCAGGAAGTTGACCTCCAACGCCCTGGTCCGCGGGCGCCCCCCCTGGCTGCCGGCGGCGGGGGCGAGGTTGGCCACCGCGTCTAGGAGCGCCTTCCGGAAGAACTCCCTGTCGTCCATGTCGGCTGGGTTCGCCATGCCCGCGTCCTCGGGCGCGTTGAGCAGGGCGGAGTAGGTCACCAGGAAGACGTGGCTTCGCGCCTGCTCGTTCTCCTCCTCCTTGACCCAGTCGGCGTCCGACTCGGCGTCGGGCTCGTCGGCAGCAGCGTCGCCCTCGCTGTCGCTGCCGCCGCTGGAGCTGGAGTCTGAGCCGCGGCCGTCGGCCGGCTGCGCCGCCGCGGGCTGGGCCCTGGGCGCGGCCTCGAGCAGGGGCGCGGGCGCGTCCTCCGGCTGGGCCACGGGCGACCCCTCGGGCCGGGCCGCGGGCGCGCCCTGCCGGGCCTCCACCGCCATGCTGGCGGTCGCGCGGCGGCGAGGAGAAGCGAGGGCGAGCGCGCGAGCTCGAGCCAAACCGCCACTGGACCGAGGGGTTCACAACTCGCTGGTCTCTGAGCTGGACCCAGCTGGGCTGACCTGGACTCACCTGCGCTGGGCTGACCTGAACGGCACTGCACTATGTTGAGCTCGCGGGGGCTGGGACGCGCAGAACGGAGCTCGGCCGCGCTGGGCTGCCTCCGCTGCGCCAGCAAAGCAAAACCATACATTCGGCTTCGCCTGCGCCTAGGGCGACAAGCGCCGAGCCCGCGTCGGGTCTGGCCCGCGCCTGGGCCGATCCCCAGCCGCGATGAGGACGCGCGCGGCCCGCACTGCGATTGCAGCGCCAGGCGCACCCTGGACTGCGCCGGGCGCTGCCCAGGCAACATGGCGAGCGTCGCCCGTCGCGGGCACGCGGCCGCGCAGCGGGGCAAGGCGCGCCAGGCGACGACGGGCTGGCGGGGCGCGCGCAGCCCGCATCTGGCCTATTTGAATACTCCCCGCGTATTTGAATACTATTTGAATACCTATTTGAATACCTATTTGAATACCTATTTGAAAACTTCACTTATATGGGGGAAACCGATGTTTGATCTTTTTGGTAGAAAGAAAAATTATATCCTTTTTAATTCTACTATTCGCTCGTAGCAAATCCAAATCCCCATATGAGTGGAGTTTTCAAATAGGTATTCAAATAGGTATTCAAATAGGTATTCAAATAGGTATGCAAATAGCACTGGAGTATTCAAATACGGAAAATGCAGGCGCGGCGCCCGCGCCGCCAGCCTGTCGCGCCAGCTGCGCTGAGCAGGCCACGCGCCGGCGTCGCCCAGGCGGAGCCTGGCGCGCCGAGCCCGCGCAGGCTCGCGCAAGTCCGCCGCGCGGCCCAGGGGCGGCCGCTCGCGCTCCAGGCCCAACCCGAGCGCGGCCCCGGCGAGGGCCTGGAGCCGGCTGGAAGGAGGCCCATGTCACTCAGTAACCAACTCATGCCCTTCGGGGGCCCGCGGCGGTTGAGCCGACAGGCCTCGGCCGAGCAACCCAACGCCAAGATCGGCAGGGGGGCCCCGCGACAAACCGATTCTCTCGGGAAGGCCAAAACAAAGCGCACGTCAAGATCGGCTGCCTGTCGGGAAAATATAATTCAAGAAATTGCCCCCATCTGGCCGGTGGGCGGCTGGCCCGAAGTCCCGGCGCCCCGCCGCGGCGACTGGGCACGAACTTCGCGCGCCCCCCGCGCCCTCAACGGCGGGCCGCCGGCGGGGGGCCGAACGTTCGCGGCGTCGGCAGCCGCGAGGGCCGCCCGGGCCATCACTCCTCGAAGTCTTTCCCCTTCGCCCGCTGGAGGGCCTTGCAACGCCGGCCCATGGACTTCACCAGGGGCGTCAAAATGGCCTCGGGCACGCGCTGGATGGTCCTCTTGAGGCGCGCCACGAACTGGGCCCTGGTTTCCTTCTTAGTAGAAGAGTAGGTGGCCTCCTGCTTGCGGAGGCGGCGGTTGACGCAGTCCCAGAAGCCGTAATCCAACGGGTTGATGTCTGGCGAGCGCTTCGGAAAAGGCAGCACCTCGATAGCATGAGCGACTTTGGTCTGCACTGCACTCTTGGACTTGTACCCCGAGGGGTCGTTGTCCTCCAAAACCAGGAAGCGCGTCTTGCCGGAGTACGCGCGGCGCAGCGCTGGCGACAAGGACTTCGAGTACATCGTCGACGCCTCCGCGGCGTTCCACTGCTTGGGGACTACGTGGCACATGAGAACCTTCTTCGCGGAGATGGCGACGGCCACGTTGACGCCCTTGCCGAAGGTGACCTTCAATGATCTACGCGGCTTCACGTGGCCCTTCGCCAAGCCCTTGCCCTTGGCGCGGTAGGTGCCGCGAGCAGCCCTCTTGGCCGCGTATGCGCGGCCCTGTCCATTCGGGTAGAACGGGAACATCTTGTTATCCAAATACGCATGGATCCCACTCACCCAGAAGCTGGGGGGCTTCTTGGCGTGCCGATTACCAAAGGCCAGCCGGTCCTTCTCGTCATCGACAGTGCGAATGGGCTTCTCGCGCATGGGGCGGAAGCGCACCCCGCGGCTGCGCAGCGCCTCCTGAACCCTCTTGACCGAACACTTCAGCTTCAGGGCCTGGGCGCGCAAGAACCCCGCGCCGAATCGCATCGGGCGCGAACCGTCGATCGAGAATCCGACGCGCCCCGCGCGATCGCGATGAGACCAGTCGATCGGGGATCGCAGGCGCGGGAAAATAGGACCTCGAACGCGAGCGACGGCGACCGAACGGAATAACATGGCACTCTAGAGTAGCGTCGGAGATCCGCGGCGCCGAACTGAGACCCGAGCGTTTCGAACCATCAAGGCCGTGACCTGGTACTTGCCGTCGGCAGCCACAACCATGGCCTCGGTGGTCTCGACCACCTTGTCCACCTGGGCCGCCGACAGGGCAGCTGGCCGCCCCACGGGATTCGGTGCCAAATCTCCTTGCAGATTGCGTTGGAAGTGGCGGAACACGTTGGATAAATCTCGGCCCATCAATTTAGCGATTTCGGCCGGCTGCTTCCCCTGCCCCTGGAGACTCTTCAAACGGGAATGCTCCTCAGCGGAGAAGTGGGGCATGGTTCCAACAGAAATGCACTTGGGCGAGAGCCCCTCCTACAACCGCAACCTGCGCCCTGCCTTGAGCCCGAGCGGCTGCGACGCGAATCTCTCGACCAACTGGGCGCGCAATCGAAGCGCTGGGCCGGTCCACGCGCTGCCATTATATCGGCGGCACTATTGCTCCACAGCGAGGGCATCCGCAATTAGGGCATCCCGTTTTTGGATGCCCTTACGGACATGTGGGGATCCATTTATTGGATCCCCAATTCGCGGTTGCCGCGTCGGCCGCCGTGCCAGTGGTTGGTGCCCCCGTCGGGCGCGCCAAGGCCCAGCGCGGGCGCACAAACTTTGGGCCCCCCACGCTCCGCAGTCTTGCGACTTCGGAATGCCGCGCTGGACTTTGACCTCTAAGCCGCTGAAAATTGCCGCGGCAGGGGGATCCAAAACAGGATCCCCCTCGTGCCGACCCGTCGCTCCGAAACGAAGCTGGCTTGGGCCGCGCAAAGTTCCCGCTGCTGCTGGTCTGGACAAAACCCAGCGACGAGAAGGCTCATTCGCAGACTGGCCCTGTCGTCCGCGACGACGCTGGTTTGGGCAAACCCCAGCGACAAGGAACGAGGATGACCAGAAAATCGGGTCACGTGCTTTCGCTGGCGCCGCAGGGCACCAATTCCACCGCTGCGCTAACTCAGCGGCTGGCTCGCGGACGGCCAAGTTGACAGCTCCATTGGCTGCTTCGCTGGCCGCCAAATTGACAACCTTCTTGGCTGCCTCGTCGGCTGCCGTGCTGACAGCCTTGATGGCTGCCTCTTTAGCTGCCTTGTGGGCTGCCTTGTCGGCTGCCTCGTTGTCTGCCTCGTCGGCTGCGTGCCCACTGCCAGTCTTCTTGGCTGCCTCGCTGACGGCCAAGTTGAAAGCCTTTCTGGCTGGCTCGTTGGCTGCATTACTGACAGCCTTGTTGGTCGCCCCGTCAACTGTCTACTTGATAGCCTTGGTGGCTGCCTCGTCGGCAGCCTCGTCGGCTACCTTCTTGGCTGCCTTGTTGGCTGCCTTGTTACCTGCCTCTTTCGCTGCCTTGTTGGCTGCCTCGTTGGCTGTTTTTGTTGGCTGCCTCGTTGGTTGCCTCGTTCGCTGCCTCGTTGGCTGCGTCGTTGGCTACCTTGCTGGCTGCCTCGTTGGCTGCCTTGTTGGCGGCCTTGTTGGCTGCCTCGCCGGTTGCCTCGTTGGCTGCTTCGTTGGCGCACTTGGCTGCCTTGTTTGCTGCCTCGTGTGCTGCTTCGTTGGCTGCCTTGTTGGCTGCCTTGTCGGCTGCCTCATTGGCTGCCTTGTTGGCTGCCTTATTGGCTGCCTCGTTGGATGCCTTGTTGGTCGCCTCGTTGGCTGCCTTGTTGACTGCCTCGTTGGCTGCCTTCTTGGCGGTCTTGCTGGATGCTTCGTTGGATGCCTAATTGGCTGCGTCGCTTGCTGCCGCGTGGGCTGCCTCGGAAAGGCCAGGAAATATTTTTGTTTGGATTCGCGGGTCGAGAGCGCACCACTTCCGGTCGCGACTAAGCGGGCCGCGCGAAGCCTGAATTAACAAAGAGGGGGGGCAGAGGGAGAGGCCTCACGTCAAGGCCAGGAGGGGGCAAAGCCTCGGGATCAGGCGGTGCCGAAGACGATGTGCTTGCAAGGCCAGGACATACAATCAGAGGACACGAAGACTTCCCCGCGAGCCCAAAGAGAACAAACACACGTTTTACTCTGGAAGCTCCACCACGTTGCACCGTAGCCAGGGATAGCGCATTGACTCGTTGCCGGCTGTCTGGTAGGGATGGGAACTGCGGCTGATGAGGTGCTTGATTGTCAGATGCACGTGCACTTCGAGTCACATAAACGTCTGTACTTCCATCGGTGGGACGACGAAATTTTGCAAGTTGCTCCTGAACGCGCGCGGCTGCACTTACATTGCGGCGCCACCTCGACGAACAATCCCCGCCCCCTACATCTCAATGTTGGCGCCACGCGAGCACCCCAAGTCTGGGCGGACAAAATAATGCAAGTCAACATTGAAATGTGGGGATGGGGGGGTCCTCAGAGATCGATGGAATCTGATCCTAATTGGCACGCTGTTTATCATAATGCTCAGATAACTTGCGACATTTTGTCCACCGACTGCGTTTATCATCGCCCTGCAGGGTGAAGACTGACGTGGAGGGTAGAGGATGCGGAGAATTGGGGGAAGGATGAGGGCGAGGAGGATCAAGGATAAAGGTTCGACGTTCAATCGAAGGTCGACTACCGAGGTTCAAACAAGGAAAGAAGATCGACGTTCGAGGTTCCATCGATAGCAGCGGTTGCATTGGAGGAGGGGTAGGAGGAGAAGGAGGAGGAGGAGGAGGAGGAGGGAGCGGAGGAGGAGGAGGAGGAAGAAGAAGAGGAGGGACAAGACGCTTTTCGAGGTTTTGGGGGGAGTGGGGAGGTTGAGAGAGGAATGGGAAGAACCAGGAAGCTTTCAGAGGAGTGCGGAGTGATGTGGAGGAATGGGAGGCGTTTGGAGTTTTTGGGAGAAATGCGGAGGTTTAGTAGGAAAGTGAGGAATGGGAAAGGGTCTAGAGGTTCTGGGGGTATGCGGAGGGATCTGGAGGTTTCGGGAGGAGTGCGGAGGCTGTGGGAGGAATGGGGGGGCCCAGAGGTTTTGGGAGGGGTGCGGAGGTTGTGAGAGGACTGGGAGGGACCCGGAAGATTTGGAGGAGACCGGAGGTTCAGGGAGGAGGGGGAGGAGAAGGAGGAGAAGGAGGAGGAGGAGGAGTGGGAGGGAGAGGAGGAGGAGGATGAGGAGGAGGAGGAGGAGGAGGAGGAGAGAGCAGAGGAGGAGGAAGAAGAGGAGGAACGAGACGCTTTTCGAGGTTTTGGGGGGAGTGGGGAGGTTGAGAGAGGAATGGGAAGAACCAGGAAGCTTTCAGAGGAGTGCGGAGTGATGTGGAGGAATGGGAGGTGTTTGGAGTTTTTGGGAGAAATGCGGAGGTTTAGTGAGGAAAGTGAGGAATGGGAAAGGGTGTAGAGGTTCTGGGGGAATGCGGAGGGATCTGGAGGTTTCGGGAGGAGTGCGGAGGTTGTGGGAGGAATGGGGGGGCCCAGAGGTTTTGGGAGGGGTACGGAGGTTGTGAGAGGACTGGGAGGGACCCGGAAGATTTGGAGGAGAGCGGAGGTTCAGGGAGGAATGGAGGGTTCCCAGAGGTTTTCGGTAGAGTGCGGAGGGGTGCATGGAAAGGAATGAGAGGGGTCTGGAGGTCTTGGGAGGAGTGCGGACGGGTGTGGAAGAATGAGAAGGGATAGGAGGTTTTGGGAGGACCGCTGAAGGATCCGAGGGACCCACAGGTTTTGGGAGGGGTGCGGAGGTTGTGAGATGAATGGGATGGACCTGGAGGTTTTGGGAGAAGAGCGGAGGTTTAGAAGCAATGGGAGGGTCCCAGAAGCGGAAGTTTTTGGTATAAGAGTAATGGAGGTGGTCTGTAGGTCTTGGGAGGAGTGCGGGGGGGCGTGGAGGAATGGGAAGGTCTGGATTTGTTGGGAAGAGTGCGGAGGGGTGTGGAAGGACCTGTAGGATTTGGGAAGGGTGCGGAGGTGGCGAGAGGGAGGATCTGGAGAGGAGTGCGGAAATTGAGGGAGGAATGGAAGGATCCCGGAAGTCTTTGCCAGAGTGGCGAGGGGTGGAGAAGAATGGGAGTGGTCGGGAGGTGTTGGGAGGAGTGCGGAACGGTGGGCGTGGAGGAATGAGATGGCCTGGAGGTTGTGGGAGGAGGGCGGGGTGTGTGGAGGAATGAGAGGGTCTGCAAGTTTTGAGAGGAGTGCGGAGGTTTGGGATAGATCGGGGGGGGGGTCTGAGGACTCTGGGGGGAGTGCGGAAGGGTCATCAAATCAGCACATGGTCCTCGGACGATTGTCGGGCCTTGTGGGGCCTCCTGGAAACCCTTCGTCGCCACGGCTGGATGCGCCTCGCAGCAGGGGCAACCACACGGAAGATAACGATTACGGCGGCGATGGTGGCGCCTTCAGACCACGCGTGCTGCAGGGTGCGTTCGGGCCCAGGGCGGCCACAGTGCTCTCGGGCGCCGCCCACCGATGGGCAGCGATGGGGGGGCGGAAGTGAGGGGCACGAGGATGACGATGATGAGGGCGACGGAGGAGGGCGAAGAGTTTTCTGGAAATGTGAGCCCACAGCAGAACCAATAATGCACCCCAACTGCTGGCGCGTAGCCGTGATGTGAAGAGCGCGCCCGACGTTGCTCAACTTGCTTTGTAAATCGCGTACCGACTGGTGTCCCCTACAAAAATGTTTGTTTGACACAGTCATGCGAAAAGGAAGCCAAAGCCACAAGTGGCATCTAATGTAAAAAGCGGCTGGATCAGCTGAGCCCAAGTCACAATAACGAGAAAAGTGCGTCCCACGTCTGTAAACTTGCCCCATGCGTCCCGTGCCGACTGGTTCCCCTACACAAATGGTTGTCTGACACAATCACAGCGCGAAGAGAAGGCCCACGCAGGATGTGACACCTACTTCAAGAGGCAGCTGGGCCAGGCAACGGTGGCAAAGGCAGCACAACCCTGCGCGGCTGCGCCTCCTCGCGGGCTGTCGGCTGCCGCGGGAGCCTGTTCCCATAATGCGTAGAACCCGTGACCAGCCACCGCGCAAAACTCTCCGAGCACTTAGCCACGGTCCTGAAATCAGCCTCCTTAAGCTTGCCCTTCGCCTCAAATTGGACGACTCTGGCCTGCATCTGGCGGATTTCCTCCTGCGGCACAACGTAGCTCGGCATCCACAAGCCCTTCTTTTTCGCAGTCATGGCAGCCCCGCGCTTCCAGATCGTGTCCGGCTGACCGTTGTTGAAGCATCGGCTGACTTGGACTTGAAACTTCTGGCCACGAAACATCGCCAGAAGTCCGTGACTGGCACCGCGGGGCTTCTCTCTGGCATGGAAGCGCACTCCACAGGCCTGTCGTCGTCAAAGAAAATGAACCGACGCTGTGGGCAGATCAGCTTGGCCAGGAGGCAGAAGGCGCCCAATTTGGGCTTCGTGAAAATGCCGCCCTCCCCAAAGAGAGTCAGCACCGGCTTCAAGACCGTGCTCTTGCCGGCGTTGCGCGGCCCAACGATGAGAGGCACGCGCGCCGTCTTGCTCAGGCCTTCCTCGATGATCTTCACCAAGCACGCCGCCAAGTAGTCCCTGTCGACCCCCGGGTTCCTGTCGAAGAAGGCCACGGCTGCCGCCCACCACTCGCAGCCCGCCTCGCCGCCACCGCACGTGCACGCAGCCTTCCGCAGGATGAGGTCCCAGTCGCTCTCGTCGTCCTCCTCGGCCCTCTCCGACGCCCCCCCCCCATTCCAGAGCATCCTCGATTAGCTCGGCCATCTTCCGCTGGTTGCAGGCGACGTAGTTCTGCATGGCCAGGGGGCCCTCCTTCTGCGCGTACGTCATCACCTTGCGAGGCGTCAGCAACTTGTCGGACACGACAAGGGCGTACAAGTCCAGCTTCCCGAAGATATCCTTGGATTTCTCTGCGCTGCGTTCAAGGACCTGGTCGCCCGGCGCCATTGCCGCCTGCCCCCGCCTGCGCTCGTGCATCTTCGCACCCCAGCCCTCGTTGCCCATCTCGTAGAGGTTGGGCGCCGGGCCGTCTTTCGCCCAGACGTCGGGGCTGCGGTCGACCGACTTCCTCCTGTCACTGGTGCGCGTCAGGTAGCGCACGGCACTCCAGAGCTCGGTGTGCGAGGTACTCCAGTGAGAGGCGAGCTTCGACCGCTGCCGGAGCGCAGTCTTTATTGGCAGGAAGCGAGTCTCGTGCGACAGTTTCACTGCCTGGTGGTAGTGCACCTTCCCGCCCTGGTGCTTCTCCTGGACGGTGAGCAGGAAGTTGACCTCCAACGCCCTGGTCCGCGGGCGCCCCCCCTGGCTGCCGGCGGCGGGGGCGAGGTTGGCCACCGCGTCTAGGAGCGCCTTCCGGAAGAACTCCCTGTCGTCCATGTCGGCTGGGTTCGCCATGCCCGCGTCCTCGGGCGCGTTGAGCAGGGCGGAGTAGGTCACCAGGAAGACGTGGCTTCGCGCCTGCTCGTTCTCCTCCTCCTTGACCCAGTCGGCGTCCGACTCGGCGTCGGGCTCGTCGGCAGCAGCGTCGCCCTCGCTGTCGCTGCCGCCGCTGGAGCTGGAGTCTGAGCCGCGGCCGTCGGCCGGCTGCGCCGCCGCGGGCTGGGCCCTGGGCGCGGCCTCGAGCAGGGGCGCGGGCGCGTCCTCCGGCTGGGCCACGGGCGACCCCTCGGGCCGGGCCGCGGGCGCGCCCAGCCGGGCCTCCACCGCCATGCTGGCGGTCGCGCGGCGGCGAGGAGAAGCGAGGGCGAGCGCGCGAGCTCGAGCCAAACCGCCACTGGACCGAGGGGTTCACAACTCGCTGGTCTCTGAGCTGGACCCAGCTGGGCTGACCTGGACTCACCTGCGCTGGGCTGACCTGAACGGCACTGCACTATGTTGAGCTCGCGGGGGCTGGGACGCGCAGAACGGAGCTCGGCCGCGCTGGGCTGCCTCCGCTGCGCCAGCAAAGCAAAACCATACATTCGGCTTCGCCTGCGCCTAGGGCGACAAGCGCCGAGCCCGCGTCGGGTCTGGCCCGCGCCTGGGCCGATCCCCAGCCGCGATGAGGACGCGCGCGGCCCGCACTGCGATTGCAGCGCCAGGCGCACCCTGGACTGCGCCGGGCGCTGCCCAGGCAACATGGCGAGCGTCGCCCGTCGCGGGCACGCGGCCGCGCAGCGGGGCAAGGCGCGCCAGGCGACGACGGGCTGGCGGGGCGCGCGCAGCCCGCATCTGGCCTATTTGAATACTCCCCGCGTATTTGAATACTATTTGAATACCTATTTGAATACCTATTTGAATACCTATTTGAAAACTTCACTTATATGGGGGAAACCGATGTTTGATCTTTTTGGTAGAAAGAAAAATTATATCCTTTTTAATTCTACTATTCGCTCGTAGCAAATCCAAATCCCCATATGAGTGGAGTTTTCAAATAGGTATTCAAATAGGTATTCAAATTAAAGGTTTTTTTTTTTTTATTCAAATAGGTATGCAAATAGCCTGGAAGTTTCCAAATACGGAAAAATGCAGGCGCGCGCCCGCGCCGCCACCTGTCGCGCCAGCTCGCTGAGCAGGCCACGCCCGCGTACGCCCACGCGGAGCCTGCGCGCCGAGCGCCGCGCAGGCCTCGCAGCAAGTCCTCCGCGCGGCCGAGGGGCGGCCCCTTCGCGCTCTCCAGGCCCAGACCGAAGCGCGGCGCCCGCGATGGCCTGGATCCGGCTGGAAGGAGGCCCAGGGCAACTCCGTCAACCACTCAATGCCCTTCGGGGCCCGCGGCGGTTGAGCCGACAGGCCTCGGCCGAGCAACCCACCGCCAAGATCGGCAGGGGGGCCCCGCGACAAACCGATTCTCTCGGGAAGGCCAAAACAAAGCGCACGTCAAGATCGGCTGCCTGTCGGGAAAATATAATTCAAGAAATTGCCCCCATCTGGCCGGTGGGCGGCTGGCCCGAAGTCCCGGCGCCCCGCCGCGGCGACTGGGCACGAACTTCGCGCGCCCCCCGCGCCCTCAACGGCGGGCCGCCGGCGGGGGGCCGAACGTTCGCGGCGTGGGCAGCCGCGAGGGCCGCCCGGGCCATCACTCCTCGAAGTCTTTCCCCTTCGCCCGCTGGAGGTCCGTGCAACGCCGGCCCTGGAGCCCTCACCAGTGGCGTCAACATGGCCTCGGGCCACGCGCTGGATGGTCCTCTAGCGGCGCGCCACGAACGTGGACGGCCTGTGTTTCCTTCTTAGTAGAATAGTAGGTGGCCTTCTGCTTGCGAGCTGCGGTTGCCCGCGGCCCAGAAGCCGTAATCCCACCGGGTTGATGTCTGGCGAGCGCCTTCGGAAAAGGCAGCACCTCGATAGCATGAGCGGCTTTGGTCTGCAACTCACTCTTGGCTTGTTCCCCGAAGGGGTCGTTGTCCCCCAAACCAGGAAAGCGCGTCTTTTGCCGGAGTACGCGCGGCGCAGCGCTGGCGACGGCTTCGAGTAACTCGTCGACGCCTCCGCGGCGTTCCACTTCTTGGGGACTACGTGGCACATGAGAACCTTCTTCGCGGAGATGGCGACGGCCACGTTGACGCCCTTGCCAAAGGTGACCTTCAACGATCTACGCGGCTTCACGTGGCCCTTCGCCAAACCCTTGCCCTTGGCGCGGTAAGTGCCGCGAGCAGCCCTCCTGGCCGCATATGCACGGCCCTGTCCATTCGGGTAGAACGGGAACATCTTGTTATCCAAATGCGCATGGATCCCACTCACCCAGAAGCTGGGGGGCTTCTTGGCGTGCCGATTACCAAAGGCCAGCTGGTCCTTCTCGTCGTCGACGGTGCGAATGGGCTTCTCGCGCATGGGGCGGAAGCGTACCCCGCGGCTGCGCAGCGCCTCCTGAACCCGCTTGACCGAACACTTCAGCTCCAGGGCCTGGGCGCGCAAAAACCCCGCGCCGAATCGCATCGGGCGCGAACCGTCGATCGAGGATCCGACGCGCCCCGCGCGATCGCAATGAGACCAGTCGATCGGGGATCGCAGGCGCGGGAAAATAGGACCTCGAACGCCGAAGCGACGGGGCGACCGAACGGAATAACATGGCACTCCTAGAGTGCGTCGGAGTCCGCGGCGCCGAGCTGAGACCCGAGCCGTTTCAACCATCAAGAGGGCCGTGACCTGTACTTGGCGTCGGCATCCACAACCCTGCCCTCGGGGTTGGTCTCGGACCACCTTGCTTGTCCACTGGGCCGCCGACGAGGGCCGCTGGCCGCCCCACGGGATTCGGTGCCAAATCTCTTGTCAGATTGCGTTGTAATTGGCGGAACACGTTGGCTAAATCTCGGCCCATCAATTTAGCGATTTCGGCCGGCTGCTTCCCCTGCCCCTGGAGACTCTTCAAACGGGAATGCTCCTCAGCGGAGAAGTGGGGCATGGTTTCAACAGAAATGCACTTGGGCGAGAGCCCCTCCTACAATCGCAACCTGCGCCCTGCCTTGAGCCCGAGCGGCTGCGACGCGAATCTCTCGACCAACTGGGCACGCAATCGAAGCGCTGGGCCGGTCCACGCGCTGCCATTATATCGGCGGCACTATTGCTCCACAGTGAGGGCATCCGCAATTAGGGCATCCCGTTTTTGGATGCCCTTGCGGACATGTGGGGCTCCATTTATTGGATCCCCCATTCGCGGTTGCCGCGTCGGCCGCCGTGCCAGTGGTTGGTGCCCCCGTCGGGCGCGCCAAGGCCCAGCGCGGGCGCGCAAATTTTGGGCCCCCCACGCTCCGCAGTCTTGCGACTTGACTTCGGAATGCCGCGCTGGACTTTGACCTCTAAGCCGCTGAAAATTGCCGCGGCAGGGGGGTCCAAAACAGGATCCCCCTCGTTCCGACCCGTCGCTCCGAAACGCAGCTGGCTTGGGCCGCGCAAAGTTCCCGCTGCTGCTGGTCTGGACAAAACCCAGCGATGAGAAGGCTCATTCGCAGACTGGCCCTGTCGTCCGCGACGACGCTGGTTTGGGCAAACCCCAGCGACAAGGAACGAGGATGACCAGAAAATCGGGTCACGTGCTTTCGCTGGCGCCGCAGGGCACCAATTCCACCGCTGCGCTAACTCAGCGGCTGGCTCGCGGACGGCCAAGTTGACAGCTCCATTGGCTGCTTCGCTGGCCGCCAAATTGACAACCTTCTTGGCTGCCTCGTCGGCTGCCGTGCTGACAGCCTTGATGGCTGCCTCTTTAGCTGCCTTGTGGGCTGCCTTGTCGGCTGCCTCGTTGTCTGCCTCGTCGGCTGCGTGCCCACTGCCAGTCTTCTTGGCTGCCTCGCTGACGGCCAAGTTGAAAGCCTTTCTGGCTGGCTCGTTGGCTGCATTACTGACAGCCTTGTTGGTCGCCCCGTCAACTGTCTACTTGATAGCCTTGGTGGCTGCCTCGTCGGCAGCCTCGTCGGCTACCTTCTTGGCTGCCTTGTTGGCTGCCTTGTTACCTGCCTCTTTCGCTGCCTTGTTGGCTGCCTCGTTGGCTGTTTTTGTTGGCTGCCTCGTTGGTTGCCTCGTTCGCTGCCTCGTTGGCTGCGTCGTTGGCTACCTTGCTGGCTGCCTCGTTGGCTGCCTTGTTGGCGGCCTTGTTGGCTGCCTCGCCGGTTGCCTCGTTGGCTGCTTCGTTGGCGCACTTGGCTGCCTTGTTTGCTGCCTCGTGTGCTGCTTCGTTGGCTGCCTTGTTGGCTGCCTTGTCGGCTGCCTCATTGGCTGCCTTGTTGGCTGCCTTATTGGCTGCCTCGTTGGATGCCTTGTTGGTCGCCTCGTTGGCTGCCTTGTTGACTGCCTCGTTGGCTGCCTTCTTGGCGGTCTTGCTGGATGCCTCGTTGGATGCCTAGTTGGCTGCGTCGCTTGCTGCCGCGTGGGCTGCCTCGGAAAGGCCAGGAAATATTTTTGTTTGGATTCGCGGGTCGAGAGCGCACCACTTCCGGTCGCGACTAAGCGGGCCGCGCGAAGCCTGAATTAACAAAGAGGGGGGGCAGAGGGAGAGGCCTCACGTCAAGGCCAGGAGGGGGCAAAGCCTCGGGATCAGGCGGTGCCGAAGACGATGTGCTTGCAAGGCCAGGACATACAATCAGAGGACACGAAGACTTCCCCGCGAGCCCAAAGAGAACAAACACACGTTTTACTCTGGAAGCTCCACCACGTTGCACCGTAGCCAGGGATAGCGCATTGGCTCGTTGCCGGCTGTCTGGTAGGGATGGGAACTGCGGCTGATGAGGTGCTTGATTGTCAGATGCACGTGCACTTCGAGTCACATAAAAGTCTGTACTTCCATCGGTGGGACGACGAAATTTTGCAAGTTGCTCCTGAACGCGCGCGGCTGCACTTACATTGCGGCGCCACCTCGACGAACAATCCCCGCCCCCTACATCTCAATGTTGGCGCCACGCGAGCACCCCAAGTCTGGGCGGACAAAATAATGCAAGTCAACATTGAAATGTGGGGATGGGGGGGTCCTCAGAGATCGATGGAATCTGACCCTAATTGGCACGCTGTTTATCATAATGCTCAGATAACTTGCGACATTTTGTCCACCGACTGCGTTTATCATCGCCCTGCAGGGTGAAGACTGACGTGGAGGGTAGAGGATGCGGAGAATTGGGGGAAGGATGAGGGTGAGGAGGATCAAGGATAAAGGTTCGACGTTCAATCGAAGGTCGACTACCGAGGTTCAAACAAGGAAAGAAGATCGACGTTCGAGGTTCCATCGATAGCAGCGGTTGCATTGGAGGAGGGGTAGGAGGAGAAGGAGGAGGAGGAGGAGGAGGAGGAGGGAGCGGAGGAGGAGGAGGAGGAAGAAGAAGAGGAGGGACAAGACGCTTTTCGAGGTTTTGGGGGGAGTGGGGAGGTTGAGAGAGGAATGGGAAGAACCAGGAAGCTTTCAGAGGAGTGCGGAGTGATGTGGAGGAATGGGAGGCGTTTGGAGTTTTTGGGAGAAATGCGGAGGTTTAGTAGGAAAGTGAGGAATGGGAAAGGGTCTAGAGGTTCTGGGGGTATGCGGAGGGATCTGGAGGTTTCGGGAGGAGTGCGGAGGCTGTGGGAGGAATGGGGGGGCCCAGAGGTTTTGGGAGGGGTGCGGAGGTTGTGAGAGGACTGGGAGGGACCCGGAAGATTTGGAGGAGACCGGAGGTTCAGGGAGGAGGGGGAGGAGAAGGAGGAGAAGGAGGAGGAGGAGTGGGAGGGAGAGGAGGAGGAGGATGAGGAGAAGGAGGAGGAGGAGGAGGAGAGAGCAGAGGAGGAGGAAGAAGAGGAGGAACGAGACGCTTTTCGAGGTTTTGGGGGGAGTGGGGAGGTTGAGAGAGGAATGGGAAGAACCAGGAAGCTTTCAGAGGAGTGCGGAGTGATGTGGAGGAATGGGAGGTGTTAGGAGTTTTTGGGAGAAATGCGGAGGTTTAGTGAGGAAAGTGAGGAATGGGAAAGGGTGTAGAGGTTCTGGGGGAATGCGGAGGGATCTGGAGGTTTCGGGAGGAGTGCGGAGGTTGTGGGAGGAATGGGGGGGCCCAGAGGTTTTGGGAGGGGTACGGAGGTTGTGAGAGGACTGGGAGGGACCCGGAAGATTTGGAGGAGAGCGGAGGTTCAGGGAGGAATGGAGGGTTCCCAGAGGTTTTCGGTAGAGTGCGGAGGGGTGCATGGAAAGGAATGAGAGGGGTCTGGAGGTCTTGGGAGGAGTGCGGACGGGTGTGGAAGAATGAGAAGGGATAGGAGGTTTTGGGAGGACCGCTGAAGGATCCGAGGGACCCACAGGTTTTGGGAGGGGTGCGGAGGTTGTGAGAGGAATGGGATGGACCTGGAGGTTTTGGGAGAAGAGCGGAGGTTTAGAAGCAATGGGAGGGTCCCAGAAGCGGAAGTTTTTGGTATAAGAGTAATGGAGGTGGTCTGTAGGTCTTGGGAGGAGTGCGGGGGGGCGTGGAGGAATGGGAAGGTCTGGATTTGTTGGGAAGAGTGCGGAGGGGTGTGGAAGGACCTGTAGGATTTGGGAAGGGTGCGGAGGTGGTGAGAGGGAGGATCTGGAGAGGAGTGCGGAAATTGAGGGGGGAATGGAAGGATCCCGGAAGTCTTTGCCAGAGTGGCGAGGGGTGGAGAAGAATGGGAGTGGTCGGGAGGTGTTGGGAGGAGTGCGGAACGGTGGGCGTGGAGGAATGAGATGGCCTGGAGGTTGTGGGAGGAGGGCGGCGTGTGTGGAGGAATGAGAGGGTCTGCAAGTTTTGAGAGGAGTGCGGAGGTTTGGGATAGATCGGGGGGGGGGTCTGAGGACTCTGGGGGGAGTGCGGAAGGGTCATCAAATCAGCACATGGTCCTCGGACGATTGTCGGGCCTTGTGGGGCCTCCTGGAAACCCTTCGTCGCCACGGCTGGATGCGCCTCGCAGCAGGGACAACCACACGGAAGATAACGATTACGGCGGCGATGGTGGCGCCTTCAGACCACGCGTGCTGCAGGGTGCGTTCGGGCCCAGGGCGGCCACAGTGCTCTCGGGCGCCGCCCACCGATGGGCAGCGATGGGGGGGCGGAAGTGAGGGGCACGAGGATGACGATGATGAGGGCGACGGAGGAGGGCGAAGAGTTTTCTGGAAATGTGAGCCCACAGCAGAACCAATAATGCACCCCAACTGCTGGCGCGTAGCCGTGATGTGAAGAGCGCGCCCGACGTTGCTCAACTTGCTTTGTAAATCGCGTACCGACTGGTGTCCCCTACAAAAATGTTTGTTTGACACAGTCATGCGAAAAGGAAGCCAAAGCCACAAGTGGCATCTAATGTAAAAAGCGGCTGGATCAGCTGAGCCCAAGTCACAATAACGAGAAAAGTGCGTCCCACGTCTGTAAACTTGCCGCATGCGTCCCGTGCCGACTGGTTCCCCTACACAACTGGTTGTCTGACACAAGCACAGTGCGAAGAGAAGGCCCACGCAGGAAGCGACACCGAATTCAAGAGGCAGCTGGGCCAGGCAACGGTGGCAAAGGCAGTACAACCCTGCGCGGCTGCGCCTCCTCGCTGGCTGTTGGCTGCCGCGGGAGCCTGTTCCCATACTGCGTAGAACCCGTGACCAGCCACCGCGCAAAACTCTCCGAGCACTTAGGCACGGTCCTGAAATCAGCCTCCTTCAGCTTGCCCTTCGCTTCAAATTGGACGACTCTGGCCTGCATGTGGCGGATTTCCTCCTGCGGCACAACGTCGCTCGGCATCCACAAGCCCTTCTTTTTCGCAGTCATGGCAGCCCCGCGCTTCCAGATCGTGTCCGGCTGGCCGTTGTTGAAGCATTGGCTGACTTGGACTTGAAACTTCTGGCCACAAAACATCGCCAGGAAGTCCGTGACTGGTACTGTGGGGCTTCTCTCTGGCATGGAAGCGTACTCCACAGGCCTGTAGTCGTCAAAGAAAATGAACCGACGCTGTGGGCCGACCAGCTTGGCCAGGGGGCAGAAGGCGCCCAATTTGGGCTTCGTGAAAACGCCGCCCTCCCCAAAGAGAGTCAGCACCGGCTCCAAGACCGTGCTCTTGCCGGCGTTGCGCGGCCCAACGATGAGAGGCACGCGCGCCGTCTTGCTCGGGCCTTCCTTGATGATCTTCACCAAGCACGCCGCCAAGTAGTCCCTGTCGACCCCCGGGTTCCTGTCGAAGAAGGCCACGGCTGCCGCCCACCACTCGCAGCCCGCCTCGCCGCAAGCGCACGTGCACGCAGCCTTCCGCAGGATGAGGCCCCAGTCGCTCTCGTCGTCCTCCTCGGCCCTCTCCGACGCCCCCTCCCATTCCAGAGCTTCCTCGATTAGCTCGGCCAACTTCCGCTGGTTGCGGGCGACGTAGTTCTGCATGGCCAGGGAGCCCTTCTTCTGCGCGTGCGTCATCACCTTGCGAGGCGTCAGCAACTTGTCGGTCACGACAAGGGCGTACAAGTCCAGCTTCCCGAAGATCTCCTTCGACTTCTTTGCGCTGCGTTCAAGGACCTGGTCGCCCGCCGCCATCGCCGCCTGCTCCCGCCTGCGCTTGTGCATCTTCGCACCCCAGCCCTCGTTGCCCATCTCGTAGAGGTTGGGCGCCGAGCCGTCTTTCGCCCAGACGTCGGGGCTGCGGTCGACCGACTTCTTCCTGTCACTGGTGCGCGTCAGGTAGCGCACGGCGCTCCAGAGCTCGGTGTGCGAGGTGCTCCAGTGAGAGGCGAGCTTCGACCGCTGCCGGAGCGCAGTCTTTATTGGCAGGAAGCGAGTCTCGTGCGACAGTTTCACTGCCTGGTGGTAGTGCACCTTCCCGTCCTGGTGCTTCTCCTGGACGGTGAGCAGGAAGTTGACCTCCAACGCCCTGGTCCGCGGGCGCCCCCCCTGGCTGCCGGCGGCGGGGGCGAGGTTGGCCACCGCGTCTAGGAGCGCCTTCCGGAAGAACTCCCTGTCGTCCATGTCGGCTGGGTTCGCCATGCCCGCGTCCTCGGGCGCGTTGAGCAGGGCGGAGTAGGTCACCAGGAAGACGTGGCTTCGCGCCTGCTCGTTCTCCTCCTCCTTGACCCAGTCGGCGTCCGACTCGGCGTCGGGCTCGTCGGCAGCAGCGTCGCCCTCGCTGTCGCTGCCGCCGCTGGAGCTGGAGTCTGAGCCGCGGCCGTCGGCCGGCTGCGCCGCCGCGGGCTGGGCCCTGGGCGCGGCCTCGAGCAGGGGCGCGGGCGCGTCCTCCGGCTGGGCCACGGGCGACCCCTCGGGCCGGGCCGCGGGCGCGCCCTGCCGGGCCTCCACCGCCATGCTGGCGGTCGCGCGGCGGCGAGGAGAAGCGAGGGCGAGCGCGCGAGCTCGAGCCAAACCGCCACTGGACCGAAAGGTTCACAACTCGCTGGTCTCTGAGCTGGACCCAGCTGGGCTGACCTGGACTCACCTGCGCTGGGCTGACCTGAACGGCACTGCACTATGTTGAGCTCGCGGGGGCTGGGACGCGCAGAACGGAGCTCGGCCGCGCTGGGCTGCCTCCGCTGCGCCAGCAAAGCAAAGCCATACATTCGGCTTCGCCTGCGCCTAGGGCGACAAGCGCCGAGCCCGCGTCGGGTCTGGCCCGCGCCTGGGCCGATCCCCAGCCGCGATGAGGACGCGCGCGGCCCGCACTGCGATTGCAGCGCCAGGCGCACCCTGGCTGCGCCGGGCGCTGCCCAGGCAACATGGCGAGCGTCGCCCGTCGCGGGCACGCGGCCGCGCAGCGGGGCAAGGCGCGCCAGGCGACGACGGGCTGGCGGGGCGCGCGCAGCCCGCATCTGGCCGATTTGAATACTCCCCGCGTATTTGAATACTATTTGAATACCTATTTGAATACCTATTTGAAAACTTCACTTATATGGGGGGACCGATGTTTGATCTTTTTGGTAGAAAGAAAAATTACATCCTTTTTAATTCTACTATTCGCTCGTAGCAAATCCAAATCCGCATATGAGTGGAGTTTTCAAGGTATTCAAATAGGTATTCAAATAGGTATTCAAATAGGTATGCAAATAGCACTGGAGTATTCAAATACGGAAAATGCAGGCGCGGCGCCCGCGCCGCCAGCCTGTCGCGCCAGCTGCGCTGAGCAGGCCACGCGCCGGCGTCGCCCAGGCGGAGCCTGGCGCGCCGAGCCCGCGCAGGCTCCGCAAGTCCGCCGCGCGGCCCAGGGGCGGCCGCTCGCGCTCCAGGCCCAACCCGAGCGCGGCCCCGGCGAGGGCCTGGAGCCGGCTGGAAGGAGGCCCATGTCACTCAGTAACCAACTCATGCCCTTCGGGGGCCCGCGGCGGTTGAGCCGACAGGCCTCGGCCGAGCAACCCAACGCCAAGATCGGCAGGGGGGCCCCGCGACAAACCGATTCTCTCGGGAAGGCCAAAACAAAGCGCACGTCAAGATCGGCTGCCTGTCGGGAAAATATAATTCAAGAAATTGCCCCCATCTGGCCGGTGGGCGGCTGGCCCGAAGTCCCGGCGCCCCGCCGCGGCGACTGGGCACGAACTTCGCGCGCCCCCCGCGCCCTCAACGGCGGGCCGCCGGCGGGGGGCCGAACGTTCGCGGCGTCGGCAGCCGCGAGGGCCGCCCGGGCCATCACTCCTCGAAGTCTTTCCCCTTCGCCCGCTGGAGGGCCTTGCAACGCCGGCCCATGGACTTCACCAGGGGCGTCAAAATGGCCTCGGGCACGCGCTGGATGGTCCTCTTGAGGCGCGCCACGAACTGGGCCCTGGTTTCCTTCTTAGTAGAAGAGTAGGTGGCCTCCTGCTTGCGGAGGCGGCGGTTGACGCAGTCCCAGAAGCCGTAATCCAACGGGTTGATGTCTGGCGAGCGCTTCGGAAAAGGCAGCACCTCGATAGCATGAGCGACTTTGGTCTGCACTGCACTCTTGGACTTGTACCCCGAGGGGTCGTTGTCCTCCAAAACCAGGAAGCGCGTCTTGCCGGAGTACGCGCGGCGCAGCGCTGGCGACAAGGACTTCGAGTACATCGTCGACGCCTCCGCGGCGTTCCACTGCTTGGGGACTACGTGGCACATGAGAACCTTCTTCGCGGAGATGGCGACGGCCACGTTGACGCCCTTGCCGAAGGTGACCTTCAATGATCTACGCGGCTTCACGTGGCCCTTCGCCAAGCCCTTGCCCTTGGCGCGGTAGGTGCCGCGAGCAGCCCTCTTGGCCGCGTATGCGCGGCCCTGTCCATTCGGGTAGAACGGGAACATCTTGTTATCCAAATACGCATGGATCCCACTCACCCAGAAGCTGGGGGGCTTCTTGGCGTGCCGATTACCAAAGGCCAGCCGGTCCTTCTCGTCATCGACAGTGCGAATGGGCTTCTCGCGCATGGGGCGGAAGCGCACCCCGCGGCTGCGCAGCGCCTCCTGAACCCTCTTGACCGAACACTTCAGCTTCAGGGCCTGGGCGCGCAAGAACCCCGCGCCGAATCGCATCGGGCGCGAACCGTCGATCGAGAATCCGACGCGCCCCGCGCGATCGCGATGAGACCAGTCGATCGGGGATCGCAGGCGCGGGAAAATAGGACCTCGAACGCGAGCGACGGCGACCGAACGGAATAACATGGCACTCTAGAGTAGCGTCGGAGATCCGCGGCGCCGAACTGAGACCCGAGCGTTTCGAACCATCAAGGCCGTGACCTGGTACTTGCCGTCGGCAGCCACAACCATGGCCTCGGTGGTCTCGACCACCTTGTCCACCTGGGCCGCCGACAGGGCAGCTGGCCGCCCCACGGGATTCGGTGCCAAATCTCCTTGCAGATTGCGTTGGAAGTGGCGGAACACGTTGGATAAATCTCGGCCCATCAATTTAGCGATTTCGGCCGGCTGCTTCCCCTGCCCCTGGAGACTCTTCAAACGGGAATGCTCCTCAGCGGAGAAGTGGGGCATGGTTCCAACAGAAATGCACTTGGGCGAGAGCCCCTCCTACAACCGCAACCTGCGCCCTGCCTTGAGCCCGAGCGGCTGCGACGCGAATCTCTCGACCAACTGGGCGCGCAATCGAAGCGCTGGGCCGGTCCACGCGCTGCCATTATATCGGCGGCACTATTGCTCCACAGCGAGGGCATCCGCAATTAGGGCATCCCGTTTTTGGATGCCCTTACGGACATGTGGGGATCCATTTATTGGATCCCCAATTCGCGGTTGCCGCGTCGGCCGCCGTGCCAGTGGTTGGTGCCCCCGTCGGGCGCGCCAAGGCCCAGCGCGGGCGCCAAACTTTGGGCCCCCCACGCTCCGCAGTCTTGCGACTTCGGAATGCCGCGCTGGACTTTGACCTCTAAGCCGCTGAAAATTGCCGCGGCAGGGGGATCCAAAACAGGATCCCCCTCGTGCCGACCCGTCGCTCCGAAACGAAGCTGGCTTGGGCCGCGCAAAGTTCCCGCTGCTGCTGGTCTGGACAAAACCCAGCGACGAGAAGGCTCATTCGCAGACTGGCCCTGTCGTCCGCGACGACGCTGGTTTGGGCAAACCCCAGCGACAAGGAACGAGGATGACCAGAAAATCGGGTCACGTGCTTTCGCTGGCGCCGCAGGGCACCAATTCCACCGCTGCGCTAACTCAGCGGCTGGCTCGCGGACGGCCAAGTTGACAGCTCCATTGGCTGCTTCGCTGGCCGCCAAATTGACAACCTTCTTGGCTGCCTCGTCGGCTGCCGTGCTGACAGCCTTGTGGCTGCCTCTTTAGCTGCCTTGTGGGCTGCCTTGTCGGCTGCCTCGTTGTCTGCCTCGTCGGCTGCGTGCCCACTACCAGTCTTCTTGGCTGCCTCGCTGACGGCCAAGTTGAAAACCTTTCTGGCTGGCTCGTTGGCTGCATTACTGACAGCCTTGTTGGTCGCCCCGTCAACTGTCGCTGACTTGATAGCCTTGGTGGCTGCCTCGTCGGCAGCCTCGTCGGCTACCTTCTTGGCTGCCTTGTTGGCTGCCTTGTTACCTGCCTTGTTAGCTTCTTTCGCTGCCTTGTTGGCTGCCTCGTTGGCTGTTTTTGTTGGCTGCCTCGTTGGTTGCCTCGTTGCTGCCTCGTTGGCGTCGTTGACTACCTTGCTGGCTGCCTCGTTGGCTGCCTTGTTGGCGGCCTTGTTGGCTGCCTCGCCGGTTGCCTCGTTGGCTGCTTCGTTGGCGCACTTGGCTGCCTTGTTTGCTGCCTCGTGTGCTGCTTCGTTGGCTGCCTTGTTGGCTGCCTTGTCGGCTGCCTCATTGGCTGCCTTGTTGGCTGCCTTATTGGCTGCCTCGTTGGATGCCTTGTTGGTCGCCTCGTTGGCTGCCTTGTTGACTGCCTCGTTGGCTGCCTTCTTGGCGGTCTTGCTGGATGCTTCGTTGGATGCCTAATTGGCTGCGTCGCTTGCTGCCGCGTGGGCTGCCTCGGAAAGGCCAGGAAATATTTTTGTTTGGATTCGCGGGTCGAGAGCGCACCACTTCCGGTCGCGACTAAGCGGGCCGCGCGAAGCCTGAATTAACAAAGAGGGGGGGCAGAGGGAGAGGCCTCACGTCAAGGCCAGGAGGGGGCAAAGCCTCGGGATCAGGCGGTGCCGAAGACGATGTGCTTGCAAGGCCAGGACATACAATCAGAGGACACGAAGACTTCCCCGCGAGCCCAAAGAGAACAAACACACGTTTTACTCTGGAAGCTCCACCACGTTGCACCGTAGCCAGGGATAGCGCATTGACTCGTTGCCGGCTGTCTGGTAGGGATGGGAACTGCGGCTGATGAGGTGCTTGATTGTCAGATGCACGTGCACTTCGAGTCACATAAACGTCTGTACTTCCATCGGTGGGACGACGAAATTTTGCAAGTTGCTCCTGAACGCGCGCGGCTGCACTTACATTGCGGCGCCACCTCGACGAACAATCCCCGCCCCCTACATCTCAATGTTGGCGCCACGCGAGCACCCCAAGTCTGGGCGGACAAAATAATGCAAGTCAACATTGAAATGTGGGGATGGGGGGGTCCTCAGAGATCGATGGAATCTGATCCTAATTGGCACGCTGTTTATCATAATGCTCAGATAACTTGCGACATTTTGTCCACCGACTGGAGTTCTACGCGATTGGTTCGGGCACAGCCCGGGGTCTCACCATCAAGCACGTGTTGCAGGAGATGGCGCAGATGAGGAACGAGGAGGTCAAGATCACTCTGGAGTTGGAGACGGACTCAGCAGCGGCGAAAGGCATGATCCACAGACATGGAGTCGGACGAGTACGACATCCACAGACTAGGTGGATCTGGCATCAAGATCTGGTACGAGACGGAGACATGGAGGTGGTGAAGGTCAATACAAAGGACCAAGTGGCAGATATAGTAACGAAGCCGATGGACAAGGACACGCTCAGGAGACACATGAAGACGCTGGGGTTGATCTCAATCAAGGCGACGAGTTTCAAGGACCCAGAAGTGCTCACGAAGGTTTTGGCGGTAATGACGACCATTTCGGGAGCAGAGGCGACAGACGAGTACTACTATGAGGATGGTTTCAGAATCAATGTGAATATGAAGAGCGAGCTTAACTGGTGGAGTTTCGTTACACACCTGGTGGTTACGATTGTGGCAGTGGTTTTCAGTTACTACGTGTTCGCGGTGAAGGCGAAGCAGGACAGGGTTGCTGGTCAATATTTAGAGACACAAGGTGACTCTGGGTTGTGGCCCACGCAATTCCGACATGTACGAGCCGAAGGGGACCCGAGGTGTAGCTTCCAGGACCCGAAGTCAGAGTTAGATGAACGATCACCGTCGAGGCGACGCAGGAGAGATGCTTCGCCCGAGGCAGAGGTGCAGTTCAAGAAGATGAGGTCAGTTGAAGTCCAAGGGCCAGGGACCTACAAGAGCAGAAACAAGCTACAGTATGAGGCTGACGGTCGGTACACGCCGTTGGGCAATCGAGAGCGGGGAGCTTGGCTTCAGTGAATGCACGCACCCTGGACAACCAGTACGAGATACCGTCTGGGTTGAGCTATGCTGGCTTGTTCAGAAGATATACGACGGAGATTGATCACCTCCCGAGGTCGTGACGCGCGAGATAGAGAACGATAGAGAGGCCGAGATCACGTGAATGAAGGTTTCCTTTGCCATGGCTGTTTCTTTACATGAGTCGGAACCGAACGGGTTTCGGCTAGCACTGTTAATTCTTGATGTAATTTGAGATGGTGGGCTGACGAGTCCGCCAGCGTGCACAGCGGCCTCGAGGAGGGCTGCAGGGTTTCACAGGTGCCGAGCTGAGATTATGGTTACTGAAACCGTTTGGCTCAAGGCTCAAGAAAAGGAATCCAGGGGCTCCGCCATTCCGCACAAACGATTTTACGACGATCGCGCACAGCGCTAATGCGAGATCTCCAGTTTGAAAACGACTTGTGCTCTGCCCTTGAATTTGCTGCAAACGTTTAAGACGAATGCGCGCAGCGCTAAGCCGAGATCCACAGTTCGAAAACCCCACCTTGCCATCCCAAACGTTTACGACGACTACGCGCGGCGTTAAGGCGATAGCTCAATTTTGAAAACGGTTGTCCCTCTCGCGAAAGAGTTGCAAATGTCGAGCCCCAGGACCATGCGCGATGAGGAAGTATCAGGGGAAACGCCCAGCCGCCGTACCGACACGCCTGGAGGTGCGACAGGTGAGGAAAAGGACGGACGGAGGGGGAAGAAGAGGGGGAAGAGGAGGAGGAAGAGAAGGAGGTGGAGCCTCCGACGAAGCAGGAGGAGGGGCAGGAGAGGAGAGAGAGGAGTCGGAAGAGGGGGTCGACGACGACGACGACGACGACGACGACGACGACGACGACGACGACGACGGCGACGGCGACGGCGACGGCGACGGCGACGGCGACGGCGACGGCGACGGCGACGGCGACGGCGACGCGGACGGTGACGGCGGCGACGGTTACGACGACAGTCGCGACGATGAGGTCACTCGTCGTCGCGTGCCGCCGTGCAGCTGCGCCGCGCCCGCTCCCCGTAGGCCTTCGAGCACGGGGCTTTCAGGGTCATGCACTACGACAGGCTCTCCCGCCCAGCCCGCGGGAACGCGGGAGAAGGCGAGGGCGAGGGGCATGGAGAGGAGGAGGGGCAGGGGGAGGGAGAGGAGGAGGAGTAGAAGGAGGAGGAGGAGTAGGAGGAGGAGGAGGAAGAGGAGGAGGAGGAGGAGGAGGAGCAGGAGCAGGAGGAGGAGGAGGAGCAGGAGCAGGAGGAGGAGGAAAGAGGAGGAGGAGGAGGAGGAGGAGGAGGAAAGAGGAGGAGGAGGAGGAGGAGGAGGAGGAGGAGAGGGCCAGGAGCGGCGGACAGCAGAAGCGGCAGGAGGTGAGGCCGTGGCCGACGCACTCAACTGTCTCAACTGCATCACTCTGGAGCTCGACTGAAGAGAGAATAGACAATGTAGCACGCCTGACCACGGCCTGAGATGCCGAATGTCGCCGCGCCGTTTGTTCCGACGCGCGGCATTGCGTCTTGGGGAGGGCGTCTCTGGCACCAGGGCAAACGCTGCCTCGGGCGCGGTGGGCTCGCCGTGGGTTTGCTGCGGTGCCAGCTGGATCTACGCGGGGCGCGGGACGCAGGGGTGACCGTGGGTTTGCTGTGGTGTCGGCGTCGTCCATTTGGGCGCGTCGAAAACAAGCGGCGCGGCGACATGCAACACACTTGACCACGACCTGAGATGTCAAGTATATAATGTCCGCGACCACCAGCTGTTTTACGAACACAGCCTGCGGCTTATCCTGACCGCTCGGCACAGCGCGTCACACACGCACACATGCGCGCACAAAAGCATGCACACGCAGGGTCGTTGGGATGTCCGTTCCCCCTCGCCCCTGCCCGAAAAAAATATTACTCCGATGGACACATGGTACCTTTCCTAGTGCTCATGCGAGTCATCACCAGCATCATCATCTTCATCATCACAATCATCATCATTGACGACTAACGACGTTGATGATGCCAGGATTCTTGGACACCAGGATGCGACCTGTGAAGCCGTTGAGACCTGTGGGGCCCCGGCGACCTGTGCGACCTATGCGACCTGCGAGGCCTGTGCGACCTGTTGGGCCTGTGGGACTTGTGAGACCCATGTAACCTGGGCACATGTGGGACCTGTGGGACGAGTGGCCCCTGGAACTTGTGAGACCTCTGGAGCTTGAGGAACCTGGGAGACTTGTGCGGCCACCTGTGCGGCCTGCAGTGTTTGTTGCACCGGTGGGACCTGTGGGACTTGCGAACCCTATAGGGCGTGCGGGATTTGCGGTGCCTAAAGGACCTGTGGAGCCTGTGGGGCCCGTGGCACCTGTGGCACCTGTGGCACCTGTGGCACCTGTGGCACCTGCGGGACCTGTGCGACCTGTGCGACCTGTTGGACTGGTGGGTCATGCGAGACTTGTGAGACCTGTGAGACCTGTGGGACCTGTGGGGCACTTGTGAGAACAGTGGGCCCTGTAAGTCCTGTTCGGCATGTTGGACCTGTGTATACCCTGTACGCCCTGGCCCCCGCTCGAGATTTTCTCGCGATTCGCTCACAGACGAGGCTCCCACTCGAGACTTCCCCACGATTGGCACCCTCGGATTGCTCAAGGCCTATGCCTCCTACGGTAAGCCGATGACCCGCTCGCATTCGAACATAGAGGTGGGGACGCCATCGCGCGAGGTCTCCCGCACGAGACTTCCTCGCGATTCACTCACAAACCAGGCTCCCGCTCGAGACTTCCTCCAGAGTCAGACCAGAGGAGCCTAAGAGTGACAACAGTTACAGGCTTTGGATGACCCCGCTCGGATTCGAAAGTGAGGACCCCATATGGAGGGGCTCCCGCTTGAGACTTCCTTGCGGTTCACTCACAAACGAGGCCCCCGAGACGTCCTCCAGATTCAGGCCTGAGGAGCCCAAAGGTGGCGAAATTACAGGTTTTGGATGACCCTGTTGGGATTCGAACATGGAGGCGGGGACCCCATAGAGGGACGTCTCCCGCTCGAGACTTCCTCGGGATTCACTCACGGACGAGAACCCCGCTCGAGACTTCCTACAGATTCAGGCCTGAGAAGCCCAAAAATGGCGACGGTTACTAGTTTGGGATGACCCCGTGGCGGGGACCCCATAGAGAGGGCTCCCGTTCGAGATTTCCTCGTGATACGCTCACAGACAAGACCCCTGCTCGAAACTTCCTCAAGATGAGCGTGTGAGTGTGAGTGAGTGTGCGAGTGCACGTGATGATGGCGATAATGATGATGATGATGATGATGATGATGATGATGATGATGATGATGATGATGGTGATGATGATGATGATGATGATGATGATGATGATGAAATGAGATGAGATGAGATGAGATGAGATGAGATGAGATGAGATGAGATGAGATGAGATGAGATGAGATGAGATGAGATGGAATGGAATGGAATGGAATGAAATGATGATGATGATGATGATGATGATGATGATGATGATGATGATGATCATGCTGATGCTGATGCTGATGCTGCTGATGCTGATGATGATGCTGATGTTCATGATGATGGTGGTGATGATCATGTTGACGATGAACATGATGATCATGATGGTGATGGTGATGATGATGATGATAGTGGTGATGATGATGGCGATGAGGGTGATGATGGCGGTGGTGGTGATGATAATGGTCATGGTATTATAGTGTGTGCGATGATGATGATTATCGTGTAGTGATGGTGAGTGTGGAGCATGGTGTGCTGGTGATGATGATGACCGATGGTCATGGCGGGATGGTGATAGTGATGTTGATGGTGTGGTGGTGATGAATGTGAAGGGAGCCGAGGGGGAGGGTGGTAGTGGTGAGTGGTGGTGATGGTGACGGTGATGATGAGGACAGGAGGTAAGAGGGGGTGAGGGGTTTCTGCGCGTGGGCGGTGCAGAGAAAACAAGAACCCCACTTAGGATGTTAGGAAAAAGCACTCGCACACAAACAAAAACATCAACAACCTCGGAGACGGACGCTCGCAAAGCCCTTCCCGGGCACTCCTAGGTCCGGACTCAGAGACTCCCCACGAGATAGTGTCTAGGCGCTTAGGCTGCGCCCTCGGAGCATGTGAGGGGGCTGCCTGACATCCTGGAAACCTGATGGCGCCTCAGCAGGGTGGGGCTCTCCCGCAGCGCTCTCACACGCAGCACACGCTCTGGCATGGCCCAGACCAGAAGAAGGCTGAAAAAGTGTCAGCATCAGCCCTTCAAGGCTTGAAGATTTTATGCCAATCGACTTGCGGGGATCAAGCCAAGTAGAGCCATGTAAATCCAGGTAAGCTTATGAAGTCCAGATAAATCGAGGCAAGTCCAGAGATCTCCACGCAAATCTGGTGCAGGTCGTGGACGCTCCAGCACGAGTCGAAGGGCATCAGAAGTCGTGAAGCCCTTAACGAATCACCGCCGTAAGAGATCTTCAGCTGTTGCGCGCGCCCTTCGGTAGATGGACAAAATCCTGCACCACCCGCGCGACCAGGGTGCTGGTGCAAGCCTCAACGCGCCCATTCGCCCCCGATTCGATGTTGGTTGGCATCGCATGCTGGGCGCAGAATTTCGGCTAGTCGGCAGATCGACCCATCGCGGCGCAGCCCGCCAATGTTAATTTGGGGGCGCGGGGTGTGATCACGCAAATCAACGTACGGTCAGGAACTTTGGCTTAGCGTGTCGCGCCGCAGATTCTGGCCCACCACGCTTCGGCGCGACACGCGTCCCCATTTCCGAGCGTCAACGTCCCGATCTTTGCCCAGCCTCCCGTCCCGCGGAGAGGAGCGGCACGCCATCCGCTTGCAAGGCACAGGGTGTCGCCTGGGCCGCTGCGGCGACACGCTAAGCAGGGAGCTTGTCCATCAGCCGTGCACCCCGGGCAGGAAGTGCCTCGGCAGCGCCTTCGGCCCCCTGTCCCTCGTCCAGGCGGTCCTCTTCTCCGAGGCGAGGCCCCGCGCCCGCCCCCTCTGGCCAGCTTGGCCAGACAGCCCAGCGAGCAGCTCAGGGGAGCAGAAGGAGGAGGAGGAGGAGGAGGGAAGAGCAGCGCCAGCAGGAGTCGGGCCTACGTACTCAAAAACGCGCGGCTCGACTAGCACGGAAAAGGATGTGGACATAAGAGGGGCGTATAGAGGGGGGCAGGCAGGAGCAGCAGGAGCAAGGTCTACCTGCGGCGAGCTCGCCGCGCCTGCGCCCACGGCCCCACTGGTTCACCTGACGGTTACGTCGTGGTTCCAGTTTTCGGTGCCTCGCTGTGTTCGATCCTCCGCACGATTGCGGCCTGACTCCTCGCCATACCACCAGGACATCAGGCCACCAGCTTGTTGAGACGTTATCCTCCTTGCGGTGCCGTGTGCCCAAGACGACCGCACGATTGGCACCACAGCTACCTGTTCAGCAGCATGCAGTGGTGGCCTGGGTTGATGCCCTGCCCTGCAGCGACGGTGGCAGCTTCAGAAGAACGTTACATTCCCAGCCAGCACACCGTGCGTTCTTCAGCCAGTCGTGGAGGTTGCGATCTCCAGGTGACCGATTGCACTTCGTACAGGACGATGCGTGTCTATCGTGACCTCGTTGTTTCATGATTTGCCCGCCCTGAATATCCAGTAAGACCTCATTGTTGACGTCGAGCGGCTGGCGCAGCGCTTTGGACCTCACCTGGTGCTCGTCACGCGGGCAAGACGCGATGTGGCTGACGATCGCTGACGCACGCATGTGGATCTCGGCTGCCAACTTCTCCCACTCGCTGATATTGCTGACCTGTGGTAGGATAAGGCTCATAGCTTTCGCCACGCCCGCCTTTGCCATCTCGTCTGCCACACCGTTGCCGTGTGACACGTTCAGGCCTTGATGCGGGAGACCTTTTGTAGCTTTGTCCAGGTGGGAGCAGCATTTACAAAGGTCCACAGTATGTCTCCCACCGGGTCGTGATTTTGACGATTGTGCAACCGCTTGCCAGCTAATTTTGACGACTCCAGGAGGAGGAGGAGGAGGAGGAGGAGGAGGAGGAAGAGGAGGAGGAGGAGGAGAAGACAAAGGAGGAGGAGGAGGAGGAGGGAAGCGCCCATGTTTTAGACCTCGGGAGCGCGTGTGACGGAGGAGTGGGAGGGCCCTATTCCAGGAGAGGCGAGCCGAGGTGGGATGCAGCTTCCCCCCGGGGGGGCCGGGACCCACGCTCGTGCCCCACTCGCACGCGCACCCAGCCGCCACGGACAGTCTCGCCTGCATTCCCTCCCCATCAGGTGCATATCGGGTGCTTCATCACCACGCTCGTCGTCGCCCTTTCTCGCTCCACCTCCTGATTTCCCTGCCCTCCTCTGAGCGGGCGCAGCCCAGGGGAGGGCCGCAATGGCCGCGCCCATTCCTGGAGACAAGGGTCCGCAGCTCGAGGCTCGACGGAGGAGGGAGAAGGAGGGGAGGAGGGAGGAAGGAAGGGGGAAGACGAGCAGAAGCAGGAGGAGGAGCAGTGGCAGAAGGAGCCACGAGGCCGTCCGTTGCTGGAAAGCCCCAATGCGGGGGCGCTTGACCAAGTCGTCGTCGCCGCCGTCGTCTTTGTTGTACCGTCGGGGAGCAGAATCTGCGGAAGACCACGACGAAAACGGCGACAACCACGACGCCCACGACGATGGCCACGGCCACCACGACCACGACCACGACCACGACGGCCACGGCCACGGCAACCACAACGGCCACGACCACCACAACCTGCGACGACGGCGGCTGCGGCGCCGCCCACGACGGCGCCCCCGTGAGAGGAGGTGGCGGCGGCCCTCCGGCGCGGCGGCGGCGTGCTGGTGCAGTAGCGGGCTACTGCCGAGGAGCGCGCCAACGTGGCCGTGTTGTTAGGACCGCCTGGGATCGAGAAATCTCCCCCCGTCTCAGGAGGGAGGGGGGGTTAGGTCAGAGGAGGCAACGGTACCGATACAGGTACCTTTCTTTCGCTGTTGCCGTGGGGGGAGGACGAGGACGAGGACGAGGACGAGGAGAAGGAGGACCAAGACGAGGAGGAAGAGGAGGAAGGAGGCGTTGAGTGTCAGCGGGCGTGTGGGCGCGCGACAAACCGCGTCGGCGCTCGCAGGAGGACGAGGAGGAGGAGGAGGAGGAGGAAGAGGAGGGACGGGGACAAGGAGAACCTCTTCTGCACGGATACCTTTTCCCTGCCAGCACGGAGCAGAGCAGTGCTGGAGCAGATCGTCAGAAGTACTCCACAGATCCTCTGAAACGCTTTGGGATAAACTGTGTAGCTGGTGATGCGTTTCGACATGATTGTTCAGATACTGAGTTTCAAAAGAGTGGCATTGGGGGCATGTTCGCGCCCATCTTGAAACTTGCAACGGCCACGCAGTGTCCACGGCAGCGACCGCAAAAACGATTGTAATGATCCATCCACCTTCCTCACCAGACACCTCCAAGCCAATACCTGCCATGCCAGATCTGGACCAACTGGCCACGGTTTTGTTTGCCACTGTGCCGACTAACTCTGTGTAGCGAACATTTTGTTTCCAATGGCACGCTGAGCGCCAGCGCCACACATGCGAGGTCTCATTGACGGTTTTGCCAGTTGGGATGTTATTCGATAAGAAGTGGTAGGGCAGAGTCAACCAACAAAAATGTCCGAATTGCCAAGCCATGGCTTTATCCTTCAAGCTTGTGCGAACAGGTGCGGTGCCGAAGATCGTCTCTTCAAGCACTCCTGTTCGGACTGCGGCCCAGCACGGTGCACATGTGGCACATTTGCCGAAAGAGGGTTTCTGGGAGTATTGATTTGGCCGAGCTCAACAAGAGGCTCCCAGAAGGGGTTGTTGGAGTGCCTCCTCATCACCCTGAGCTCCCGCTCGCGCGTGGAAGCGGGGGGGGAGGAGGGAGGGGCGACAAGGGAGAAGGGAGGGGGAGAAGGAGATGGAGGAGGAACCAGGGGCCCGCAACTGGATATAGGTCCGTTTGAAAATTCAGATTGAAAGAAAAACAACAACAACAACAACAACAACAACAACAACAACAACCAAAACGTTAGAGGCACACTCCGGGGGAACACCCTCTCCCTCTACAGAGTCGCTTCGGCCGCCCTCTAGAAGCGCCCGTCAGAGGCATCTTCTTCTGGGTTCCTTTCTGGAGGCGCTCCTAGAATCCCTTCAGAGCCCTGTAGAGTCCACTACAGCCCCTCTCTGGCCCTTAGAGTACAGTGGGGGCGCGCATCGAGAAACCATCTACTTTTCGTCAGGGTACCCTGGGTGTCTTCGCTCCGCGCGCTGCTCGGTGACTTCTCGCGGCCGTCAAAGAAGCTGCTGCGTTCAGAGTGCTCCTTGTTTTCCCTCAGGTGCACCTCGCGCGCGGCTTTTCGGGGTTGAGTTTCTTGCAAGGGTTTCTTGAGACTGCGCCCGCACTGTATCCAACCAAAGCAGTCTTGCCGACGAATGGCGCCTTTGAAAGCACCCATACTGTATAACTTGCACTTTCGTTCCCTCTCGAGCCGCCCCCGACGATGTACAACTCGTGTGCCCAGTCACTTCAGACCGCCGCCCCCTAATGACTATAGTCCTGTCCAACCTCTTCCGACGCTCACATTGTCAAGCTCGCGCAAGCAGCCCTTCTACGGTAGGTTCGCGTCGTGTAGACCGTCGGCGACCCCTCCGCCGGCGTTCAACGTTGAACTCCACGATCTGGCGTTTCGGAAACGGCCGATCGTTCAAGGTTGAAAGGTCCCAGCGGTGTCAGAAACCGACGCCGAAGTCGGCACGACACAAACCTGCCATACATTCTTTCAGGTCCTATTCCCCCGCCCTCCCTTTCGTCGTCGTCGTCGAGGTTCAGGACTCTTGCTCGACATCTGAGGTTCGAAGATTCAGGGTGTGGATTGGTTTTGTAGTCTGGGTTTTCTGGAACCTCCCGTGGGACTCCTGGAGCTTCCATATGAGCTTCTGGGTGCCTCCGGGGATTCCAGCAAGCACCTCACGGACGTTGTCGATGTTGGACGTCGTTCATCCCGTGGTCAGTCTTGCATTGTCGTCGTCATTCTTCCGAGCTTCGAGGTTCGAAGACCCATGGTCCACATTCTAGTTGAGAATTTCGCGGATCGATGTTTTCGAGGTTCTCGGATGTTTCGAATATTTGGGCTCTCTCCAGCTTCCAGAGGTTTCCGGGAGCAGCCGAAGCTTCCAGGGATTGGAGACCACGAGAGATTTATCGGCAGCGTCTTCGTCGTCCTCCTTTGTCGTCCTTCCCCGTCGACGTCGTCCCCGTCGTCCTTCGCCGTCGTCGTCGCTATGCGGATAGACGGCCCCGACGACATTGGAGCAAACGCGCCCTGAGCGCTTCCTACCCTGGGCCACACCGCGGCACCGTCCCAGTGGCCGTGGCGAGTCTCTTCTCTCTCGCCACTCCCTCCCAGTCTTTGCGCTTGGGGAAGAACGGGCGGATGCTGTCGTAACGGCGGCCGCCCAGGAGAATACTAGGCGATTTTTGTCGCAACCGCCCCCCCTCGTCAGAAGCATTCTCCGCAGCGTTCAGCGCGGTAGGAATGTCGTACATGAGATCGCAGGGGGCCAGCCTCATTGTCAAGTGCCGCAGTGTCGGGCAAGCGCGCCGAAGCACGCTGTGGCTCCACCGCGTCGCGTGCCGTGACCAGTTGCGGAGTGACCTCCTGCTCGCTGTGGCGCAAAGATCATGGGGATAGTCAGATATTTCGGTTGGCCTAGATCCCGCCAATTCTTGCTTGAGATGTACTGCCGCGGGAACTCTGGTGGATTGTTGTTGTTGTTAGCAGATATCTTACAGTTCTGCGCATCTTTGGGTGAAGCGGCAGGCAGGCATGGAGAAGCGACGCACGGAAGCGGAGGAAACAAATAACAGAAAGAGAAGTCTGCGAAGAAGGATGAGGGGAGGTTGGGGGGGGCGCAGATGCGGGAAAGAGGCGGCCGGAGTTGCAGGTTCGATTCTTCCGATTCAGGGTTCGAGGCTTAAAGTTTTCGTATGGTTTTGGACGCTCTTGGCTCTGTCTGGAATTCCGACGGCCTCTGGGAGCATCAAAAGGTTTCCAGGGACATTCTGGGCGCCAATCCTGGAATGTCCCGACCCTTGCTCCCACCCCACCCACAATCACACACACACACACACACACACACGCACCCTTCGGAGTGTCAAAACCAGCGTCTCGCCCGACACGTCCACAAAACTGCGCTTCACAAGCTGTGTGAGCCTGAGACTCATCATCTTCAGTCACACGCACACAAAGGTCTGAGTCTGAGTCTGAGTGAGTCTGAGTGTGAGTGACTCTGAGTATGGATGGTGTGCGTGAATCAGAGTTTCCGTGAGTCTGAGTGTGGGTGAGTCCGAGTGCGAGTGAGTCTGCGCATAAGTGAGTTTGAGTATGAGTGAGTCTGATTAAGGCGAGTGAGGCTGAGTGTGAGCGAGTCTGAGCGTGCTGAGTGACGTTGAGGAGGAAGAGGAGGAGGGAGGAGGTGAGGTGAGGGCTCCTGGAGCCGTCTAAGTAGCAAGAAGAGCTCCGTTCTAGGATATGGGGGATAAACGTCTCCCGAAGGGAATGCGACGATGTGTGCTTCGTGGGCCCCTGTTGGGGGTGCTCTAGGGGCCCTCTGGGAACGTCTTGTGGGCGCCTTGGGCCGCGATACGAGGGGTCACGCCCCCCCCCCTCCCCCCCAGATTGGATGGGCCTCAGGGCCCCTCGGGCCCCCACCCCAGATGGGTTGGTGCGCGTACAACGACGACGACGACGACGACGACGACGACGACGACGACGACGACGACGACGACGACGACGGCGACGACGACGACGACGACGACGACGACGACGACGACGACGGCGACGGCGACGGCGACGGCGACGGCGACGGCGACGGCGACGACGACACGACGGCGACGACGACGACGACGACGGCGGCACCGCAGCACTACCCCACACCCTCAGGGGTGGGAGGCGGCGCCAGCACTCCCCACCACCCCACGCCCTCTGGCGGGGTGTGACTCATCGCGCGGTGGAAGGGGACGGCCCGAAAGCTTCCATGGACCATCTAGTGGCATTCGGCCCATCCCGCCACCATGCTTCGGTTGTGGGTTAGAGGTCTTTGGGGTTTTCGCTCGGATATCGTGGGAAGCCTCTCGCGGGCCTCGTGGAGGCAGTTTTGAAGCCTCGTGGGGGCAGTTTGGGGGGCTCTTGGAGCATCTTTTTGTGCATCTTGGGGGGCATCTAGGGGGCCTCTAGGGGGCCTCTTGGGCTCTCTTGGGGTGCCTTTTGGGGCGGAAGGCTCGAATTGTCGATTCGTGTTCCCCCTCTCGGGCCCCCTTTGGGGCAGTCTTGGGACCTTATTGAGCGATCTTGGGCGCCTCGTGGACCGTTTTGGGTTCTCTTGGACCGTCTTGGGGGTCTCTCGGGGGCCTTTGGGGCCGTTTTGGGTCGGTTTGGGGGGCCGATGGGGCAATCTTGGAGCGTCGGGATCCCGAAAACGCGAAAACGCGAAGAGCATAGAAAAACACAAGGAAAATGATTGATGTTTGCCTCTGTGGGCCTTCTTGGGGGTCCTATTGGAGCGCTCTTGAGGCTTCTTTGGGGCCTCTTGGGCCGTCTTGGGGCCATCTTGGGCGTCTTGGAGCGCTCTTGGGCTTACCTTGGAGGCCTCTTGGACCCTCTTGGGCGCTTTCTGGGGCCCTCTTGGCCCGTCTTGGGCCCGTCTGGCCTCTGGAAAAGTCATGCGGGGCAGCCCGAGAACGCGCGGGAACTCCCAGGAAATTTGAGAATTTGGGGTCCCAGCCCCTTAGAATACTATAATCACAGAGCCCTGGGTACAGAGAACAGCGGACACATGAGAGCCCTGGGGTAACTCCACTTCGTGCCTCGAAGCACGGTGGCGGCCATGGTCTCCCAGTCATTTCTCGTGTCGTCTGCACATCACTTCTTGTGTCGTCCGCACTTCTGTGGCAAGGGCCCCCCCCCCGCACTTGCCCTCAGAAGTGTGTCCTCTTGGATGTCACCTGTCAAAAGCGCCAACTGCAGGGACACATCGAGGCACTGATCTCGCGCACGTGCGGACCAGGAAGAGCAGCAGCAAGTTGCGCCCTGAATTTGTTGGTTTCCTCTGAGGTTTCCTGTCGTTGGCGAAGGCTGCACACCACGAGGTATCTCCCTCCTCCCTTCCCCTCTCAGGAAAGAAGGTCGAAGGAGGAGGAGGAGGAGGAGGCTGGAGGGAGCTGAGCTATTCATCTCCTCCTCTCCCTTCTCTCATTCCTCATTTCTTCCGCCTCCTTTCTTCTCCTCCTTCTCCTTCTCCTCCTCCTCCTCTTCCTCCTCGTCCTCGTTATCCTCCCTCGCCCTCCTCCTAATCGTCCACATCCTCCGTCCCTCCCCCAGCGCGAAAGGGGGGTGAGAACCGGAGGCAGATAGTTGTGGCGTATGTCGATCGGTCCCCGCGTAATGGGGCAGTTGGCGGGGCGAGCGGGCAGCTCCCGGGGCCACCGAAGCACCTGATGATTGCCCCCTCTGGACTACACACGCACACACACACACACTTTGCGTCGGCGGCTAGGCAGAGACGCACACATACACACAGACACGCACGCGCGCTGCGCATTCTTCCTGGCAGTCACATGCGAAACCTGCCCCAGCAGGTCCAAACGGCACTGGGCTGTCCGATCCCCTGGGGGGGCGTTCAGCTTGCTACAGGCATCCTTCAGATTCTGAGCGCCCGAGGGTTACTCGATAAAATGACCGGCAAGCAGTAGCTTCCCAAGGGTTGATCCAGTCGCCCTGTAATTAGTGTGTACATGTTGTCGGCCACTCCTTCCGCTGCATCTTTGTCCGTGCTTTTGCGGGCCGCCAGCAGGATGCTACCTGATCACCCGAGAGGGCTGGACGGCGGGCCGGGAAAGAAAAAGAAAGCAGGCCTGGAAATTTGAGAGAGTTTCGCTGCGACCGTCAGACCCCCAATCCCTACCCCTACTACTCCTATTTCTCCTCACATTCCTCTCCCTCAGCCTCCTCATTCTCCTCCTCGTCCTCCTCCTCCTCAGAGTACTTAGACCGGATTGTCCGTGGACTGTGGACGCGGAGGCTCCCCCAGCGTCCTGCCACCAGGCATTGCCACGCGCCCTGGAATTGTGCCGGTCGTCCCACCTCCACGAGTCGGTTTGCCATGATCTTCCAGAGGGCCAGCGACCTCCCCGCGCCCCGTGAGCGGTCTTCCCGGTCGCCTCCCCGTTGGCATCCGCCCGCGGCAACCCCACAAGCCACCTGGCAGTGTAGTGTCCAGGCCTCCTCGTCCTGAGGCCGAGCAGGGTATAATCACATGCTCTGAGTGCGATGGGAGGTGCGCGGCGGCTCGGTGGGCTGTCTGGGCGCATGGCATTGGCGGGCGATCCTTTGTCGTCAACTCGTGGTGTTCTGCGTGTGGAAAAACTCTCTGATGAGATCGGCGGGGTGCTGCCTGGGGTCCCGCCCTGCTGTCTCAGTGGGGCAGAGAGAGAGGAGAGAAGGGGAGGGCACCAGACCGGAAGTTGAAGGCCAGCATACAATTTCATGAACCAACACAGAGGGCCCGCCGCAGGAGAACAGAGTGGGCGACGAGGCACGAAGTCGAAAGCTGTGGGGGCACCGTCATGTCGAGCAAAGTTGCTGGGGGCGCGAGGCATGAAACCAATTGTTTGTTGCAATGTTGCGACACGGTGTTGCCACAACGCTGTCACTGACACGCAATGCTCGCACGTACCATTCACATAACCTTGAGGCACAACGCTACGCTGCAGTGCCGACACGATGCCGATACATTTAACATTGGCACGCAATGTCCACGCAGAACAATGTAGGCACGCTGAGCGCGCTTATGCAATGCTGTCGTGATCCTGGCACGCGATGTTGCCATGAAATTTCAACACGTGTTGCTGACGTGATGCTAACACGCATCGCCAACACGACGCTGATATAGACGCCGACCGACACGACGCTGCAGACCGCGCAACCCGCGGCCACAGAGTCCAAGCTTAGCCAGGGTGGCACGCTGGTGTAGGCTCCTCCTTGGGGGGTTATGGACTCCTCCCCGTCCCCCCTGCCCCTCCCCCCATGCTTCTCACAGAATCGCGAGCATGGATTAAGGCGCGTGGATCAGCTACGGGCCCCGCTTCCGTACAGAATCGGCGCGCTCCGTCGTCAAATGAGGTGATCGGCTTCATCTGTTGGAGGGGGATGTTTCCGTGGACGTGAGATCCACGGATCCGTAATGCGTGTTAGCGTGTGCCCGATATTTGGGGAGGGGGGGCTTGGACTCCTCCCCTTCCCGCCTCCTCACCCGGTGCTTCCACCGCCTTGATACAGCAGATCTTTGTTGACGATTCTTGCGGTGGCTGCCGCACTGAACAGAACAAGCGAACAACAAACACCAAGGATTTGTGTGGACTTGGGGTGATTCCTGAACCGTCCCGCAAGGTAAGTGGCAACGTCCTCTAGACTCGCTTTGGCAACGTTTACTCCTCCTCCCCCATCCGACGACGACGACGATGACGACGACGATGATGATGGTTATCACGACGACGAACCTCTTGATCGCACAGACATCTCGACCAACCCCTGGCCGAGGACTGAAAAAATCTGTCTCCCTCCGTCATTCTCCCCACCCTTGTGCTTCTCTCTCTCGTCCTCCCCCCGCAAACACCTTGGACGAGCCGCTTGGAGCCACCAGAACCCCCTCATAACTTCAGAAGACTTTGACCACTCCTTCAACACCCCCTTGCTTCCCTTCATCATCTTCCTCCCCCCGTCTCGATTGCAAGGCCCCCCCTCTTCCAAACATGTCCTGGAGCGCGTCCTGACCAGAATTTCGAGGCGAGCCCAGCCCTGTCGACAGGGGGGCCCAGGAGGCCCCCCCCCCCCTTCCAAAGAAGAGCGAACCAAAAGGACACCCCTGCGGCCGAAGACCCCAAACAGCTTCTTCGCATCGCTCGGACGTGTGCCCTCTTTCCAGGGAAGGACCATCGAGGAGCACGCACGGGACCGATCAGTGCACGGGGAGTGGACGTCCGAGCGACGGCACGACCTTCCAGACTTCGGCATACATGAGGGGCGGGCACGCAGGGGGGGGGAGACCACGGGCCACCGACTTGTTCGGGGGCCCAGGCCCCCCCAGCGTTAGAAGAAGCACCTCAAAGTGTGTGTGTTCAAATACTTTGTGATTAAAAAGCAAACTCGATGTACATACGCTCATCCAGACATCCATGCATACATACACACGTACATGCATGCATGCATGCATGCATGCATATATATACACACATACATGTCCAAACATGTGTGGGACCATTACAGAACCTGTTCCGGGGAAAGCAGAAAACGTGGCGTTGCGATCTCTCTCTCTCTCTCTCTCTATATGTGTATTTGTCTCTCTCTCTCTCTGTCTATATATATATATATCTCTTGGTAGTATCGCCCACCCCTGCTCATTATGACGACCCCTCGCCGTGGCATCCCCAGATGTGTGCGTACGGTGGGCTAGGCGGTTCCTTCGAGACGCTCGTACCATTGGTAACATTGAGATACGAGGCGTCCGACAGAACAGTTACACGGATGGAGGGCGAATGTTGATCAAAGTATGCACATCGCCCAAGCGTCACGCACATTGTTTGTAAAATCGTCGAACAGCTACATTAATGGAGGGTGAATGGTTTTCAAGATACGATCACCATTTTAGTGCCGAGCACATTCGCCCGCAGAAGTTTGCAACGGGTACACGGATGGAGGGCGGGTAGTGTTCAAAATGCGTTTCTCCCAAGGGCGCCGCGCACGTTCGTCCGAAAAGCTCCCAACGGGCACAGATGAACGAGTGCTTCTTTTCAACCTCGGGCGGTCGTTTGAGACCGATCCCGAAATTACGAATAGATATTCAACAGTATGCACGGGGTTGACGGGTGGAGACGGCCCTTTATCAACATGCAAGCTTTCAGTCTTGATTTTTAGACGACGAAAATTATCAATCGGCTACACGGCGGGTGGAGGGGGGTTCTTTTCAAAATGGCGTTGTACGTGGACAGCGCGTTGGATTTGATAACGTCATTCCCAACCATCTTGAGGTGTTGGGTCCTCGTTTTGAAGAGACAGCGCCCGCGTCCTCCTTCCTTCCTTCTCCTCCCGCTGCCCCCCCCCCCATCCTACTTGCGCTTCATCCACCCAGTACGAGGAGCGTGGCCCCATAGGGAGCTCCACCGAAGGCGCCAGTGGCAGGGTTGCGGCCTCGGGCCATTTCGGCACACCCCTCACGAGGATCGTGGCCCCATAGGGAGCTCCATCGAAGGCCCCACTGGCAGGGTTTGCATGGCGGCCTCAGGCCATTTCGGCACACACCTCACGAGGATCGTGGCCCCATATGAGCTCCACCGAAGGCCCCACTGGCAGCGTTCGCATGGCGGCCTCGGGCCATTTTGGCACACCCCTCACGAGGATCGTGGCCCCATAGGGAGCTCCACCGAAGGCCCCAGTGGCAGGGTTCGCATGGCGGCCTCGGGCCATTTCGGCACACCCCTCGCGAGGATCGTGGCCCCATAGGAGCTCCACCGAAGGCGCCAGTGGCAGGGTTCGCATGGCGGCCTCGGGCCATTTCGGCACACCCCTCGCGAGGATCGTGGCCCCATAGGAGCTCCACCGAAGGCCCCACTGGCAGCGTTCGCATGGCGGCCTCGGGCCATTTCGGCACACCCCATCACGAGGATCGTGGCCCCATAGAGCTCCACCGAAGGCCCCAGTGGCAGGGTTCGCATGGCGGCCTCGGGCCATTTCGGCACACCCCTCGCGAGGATCGTGGCCCCATAGGGAGCTCCACCGAAGCCCCAGTGGCAGGGTTCGCATGGCGGCCTCGGGCCATTTCGGCACACCCCTCACGAGGATCGTGGCCCCATAGGGAGCTCCACCGAAGGCCCCACTGGCAGGGTTCGCATGGCGGCCTCGGGCCATTTCGGCACACCCCTCGCGAGGATCGTGGCCCCATAGTTGTGCTGCTTCAACATCCGCGCCTGGGCGTCGTACTCCGCCATGTCGACGTGCAACGCCACCTCCTTCCTCATGGCTCTCAGGGAGCCCTCTCCTGCTTCTGCTCCTCGGTCAGAGGGACGCCGTCCTCGTCGTCGTCGGCGCCTGCGAAGACGGCCACGAACGCGTCCCTGAGCATGTCGGGTTCCGGCGGGAAACCATGGCCACATAGGGAGCGCGGGCGAAGATGGCATTCACAATTGCGGTATTCACAGCTGCATATGGTTGGGTCCTTCGCCAGGCTAATTTTTCGACAGTTAGAAGGATGGACGGCTGATTTGCTTCAGAACGGCGCTCTCGTTGAACGACAGGAGGCCAATGGGGCGCTCGTCTTTCAAAGGGGCGAGCCCTGTATTGAATCCGACCTGTAGAGACCCATGAGGAGGGGATTTGGGACGAGAGGTGTACTGCAGCATCGTTAGTGCGGCCTGGGTTTATTATGGTCCACGTTTTCGCCCTCGTCCTCCCTCCCCCACGCCCTCCACCCCATCACCATCGCTCCTCTCCTCCCAGAAGTTTGAAGAACCATCTTGATCGACCCGAAATCTTCTACAACACTCTCCCGCCCTTGCTGCCCTCCTTCCTCCCCCTCCTCCCTTCTCCTTCTCCTTCTCTTTCTCCTCCGCCTCCTCCCCCTCCGCCTTCTCCTCATCCCTTTTCTTGTGTCTCTCTCCCTCTCTCTCTCTCTCTCTCTCTCTCTCTCTCTCTCTCTTTCTATATATATTCCCATTTTTTCATCCTCCTCATCCTCCTTCTCCTCCTCCTCCTCTTCCTCCTCCGCCTCCTCTTCCTCCTCCTCCTCCTCCTCCTCCTCCTCCTCCTCCTCCTCCTCCTCCTCCTCCTCCTCCTCCTCCTCCTCCTCCTCCCACTCCCTTTCCCTCTACCCCCCCCTCCCCCGAAGCCCTGCGAAACCATCCGAGGTGGACCAAGTCGCGCGGGCTTTGCCGGCGGAGGCCGAGGTCCGGTTCCCTTGCCAGTGGGACCGCGCTTGCAAGAGGCAAGACCCAGGAGCGCGCCCTTCGGCCGGCCTGCTGCCTCCCACGTGTTGCCAGCGGATGTGCTTTTGATACCGCTACCGCGACGGCGAAGGAGGCGACGGCGACGACGTCGACGGCGGCGCCGGCAGCGGCGACAGCGGCGACAGTGGCGGCGACGACGACGGCGATGGCGAAGGCGGGGGCAGCGACAGCGGCGACGACGCTCATGACATGTGAGAGGTCGTAAGCTCGTCGTTCAGACTCAGTGGAAAGGCGTTCGCGCACTTGTTTCTGCAGGGCGTGCTCCCTGGCAGCACGCTGTCGACAGTGCAAGTGTTGTGTTAAGTTAATTGGGTTCCCTTTGCCCTTAAATGTTTTGCAAGTGGAAGCAACCTTCACAGTCTGCTATTGTGCTTCCACAAAACAACCAACCCATCCCTTCGACGAACCACACTTCCACCAGGAATCAACTCCTCGGCCCGCGACCCACCTGCGACCCACTGGCTCTACGCACCCCCGCGGCCCACCCGCATTGAATTGAAAAAATCGCCGCCTGCGGCGCGTTGGCTGCGCTGGAAAAGCCAAAAAAGTCGACGCCTGCGGCAGGTTTCTCTAAATTGATGTCCGAGCTTCGCGACCCGACGACGTCCCGCCCCGCAACCCACCCACCACTGTTTTGCAAGAAGTCGGCGCCTGCAGCGGACTGATTGCTTCGGGAGAAATCGGCGCCTGCGGCGGGCTTCTTTGGATTGGCGGTCGAGTCCCGCAGCCCCCGAACGCCACCCTCACTCATGTTTGCAATTGCGGGAATTGGGTATCCTTGTACTGCGAGTGTACTCGCCGTCGAAAGGCGCAACAATATCTCATGGATGCATATGTCGGGACAACTCAAGAAAGGGACGCAGCAGGAGGAGGAAGGGGAGGGGTAAGGGGGAAGGAAGGGAGAGGGAGAGGGGAGGGTAAAAGGATGGCAGATCTGCCCGTTCGGGCGCGGCCACACTCAGGTTTCGGCTCGGCACTTTTGGGCGGAGTGCCCGCGTTTTGTTGGACGTCGGCACGAACTCGGCGAGCAGCTGCGGGTTGCGCCCGCCTGGTGGGGAGCCCAGCGCCGCGTCACGTCGAAGTCGGTGTGGATCACCGAGGCGGCCGGGAGCTCGGTCCGGCGACGGGCTGAATTGCAAGTGATGGCGCGCCGCCTCGGCATCACCATCATGCAGGCTTTGGCGGGACTGTCCAGGGCCAGCCGCGGCGGCGGGTGGACCTTCGGGGGCGCGGCCCCTTCGCCGAGAGTCTTCTGGGGCCCTCCCCTCCCCCCCTCCCTGCCACCCCCCGGCGGGCGACGGCCTCGCGGGCGGCGGGGCGGCCGACGACGACGCTGACGACCCTCGTGCTGGCGGTGGTGGTGGTCGAGGTGTCGATGGCTCCCCGGTTGCTGGCAGCCGATCGCTCCGGCCCAGTCCTGTGGTCCGCCGGCCCTGGTCTGACGTCACCTGCCGCATTGCCCGCCCCGCGCCTGGGCCTCCTACGGCCTGGGGGCTTCAACAACTGCGGTTCGCATTGTTTTCAACAGCAGCTGGGGCAATGTCCCTTTGCCGCTTTCATGTCAAAGAAGAAGAAGGGGCGAAAGAGGAGGCGGATGGGGAGGAAGAGGACGAGGACAAGGAAAAGGAAAAGGAACAGGAGGACAAGATTCCTCTCGCAGCGGAGCTGACATAGCCTTCAATTGATTGATTGACTGGGAAGACGAGGCCAAGGAGGGAAGTGGGAAAGAGGAGGAGGGGACGGAGGAGGAGGAGGAGGAGGAGGAGGACAGGTATGGGGAGGATGAGGAGGAGGAGGAGGAGGGGGATGAGGAGGAGGAGGAGGAGGAGGAGAAGAAGAAGAGGGATGGGGAGGAGGAGGAGGAAGAGGAGGAGGAGGAAGAGGAGGAGCAGCAGCAGTGTCCCCACAGCGACGTAGCTGCGTGTTGTCGCACATGTAAAAAGTGCGGGCGTCCTCTATTCCTCAGTTTCCCCTGGTTTAGACACGTCTTCGTGTCGCATCGAACGAACGAGCGAAGAGGAGGAGGAGGAGGAGGAGGAGGAGAAGGGGGATGGCAAGGGTGCGCAGGAGGAGAACGAAATCAAAGTTCGCCCTGCTTTCTCTGATCAATATTTCACCGATCGCAGTTTGTTTGGCTAGTTGGGGCGAATAGTTGGCCTATGCTCGCCCGAGAGGTCGGAACAAACACACGGCATGCAGTGATGGCCGTGCGAGATTGCTGGGATGGCATCCAGCTTGCGAAGAATTTGAGATGGCTTAGTTCCGGCCCAG